AAAATTAAGAAGGTACCTATTTCCATCGCAAAAAAATGCATACCTCTTATGATTAATTATTTAAATGTATATAGTTAAAAGATTCTGACACATATACATTGGCGCAAATAGAGGAGGGGACTTAATCCCCCCCCCCAAATTTCGGTCAAGTCCCCCACTTCAAAATCTAGTAATTAATACTATAATTTTACTTATATTATAGCCTATGGGGAGGGGAGCTTGAGTCCCCCCAGAAAATTTAGTCAATTAACGCCTATGCACATATATAATATATATATATAAGTACCATCACGTAGGATTTCAGTAAAGGATTGAGGTAGGTAGCTAATCCCTACGTCTAGATATCCTGTTATTAAGTTAGTACCTAAGCTAATATTCAACGGACCATTTGAACATAGGAATCTGGAATAGGTACCTATACCTAATTTACAAAAAAAATCACTTATTTTTCTAATTTATTGGTATTATCAAAACGGCAAAACGTATCTGTTGAGAGAGGTAATAAATCCAAATTGTTTAATAGTACTTGTCTATATATTTTATATATTCCTCACTTTCAGTTTGATTGTAGGTATAAAATAGTGTTATCTAGATTTCTATCAATAAACATTGATCAATATTCAATAGTATTGATATTTGATGAAAATCTGAAAATACTCAGTCATTCGGGATGTACGTATAATGAATATGATTTTGTGAATAGTGTAAACTGTATACCTAGACATTATTATTTTACAAATAATCATATATTCATATAAAATAAATAATAATAACATATTTCTGCCAAAAATGTTATCATTAGTCATTACTAGGGCCAACAATTATATGCCCTAAAAATCTATAAAATATGTATGCAGTTATGCCCTAAAAATTACCAAAATATGCCCTTAAAATATGCTCTAAAAAAAATGTTATTGTAAAAAAATGATTAAATGATTAATTTTTTTTATGTATTATACAATTTATACTATAATAATACAATATTATTATTTATTGCCAATGAATAATGATTCACAAAAATGTGTGATATTAAAAAATATTTAAAATTAAAAAATTAAAATTAACGAAAATAGGTATTTTGTAATTTATTTAATGGTATATTGGCTGCTAACAACGTTTTGCACAAATCTTTATTGAAAGAATTAATTTTTGATGTAGTAGGTAAAAGTTGTTGAGTCTTTTGTTGTTGGTCGCCGAGTCGTTGAATACCACGTGAGTGCTTAGACGTTTTAAGATGTTGTAAAACTGTAAATCGTTTTTCACATGTAACCTTTGCCTCACATATTTTACAAAACAATATATTCCCATCCGAAGAAAATATATTTTCTCCAAATTCAGAGATGTAACTATTGATACGACTAGTGTTGGAAGTTCTGACTTTCGGCATTTTAAAACGGTCGATTTAATAACGCACCACACGAGTATAAAGACCGACTGACGACTGTAATAGGTGCGATAAAATATAATATGATATTTATCTCTATGCGATACTGTTACCGATATACGGACATATAATTGTTGACCCTAATAATTAGCGATTAAGATTAGATTACCACTTTTCATAAATGAGCTGAAATACCAATAATAAGGTATATGAGTGAAACAAATTAATATTTTGTAATTCCCGAGTTTTTAAGATCTTAAATATGCTCCAAAAATATACTAAATGCTAAAATATGCCCTAAAAATGCAAAAATACCATAATATGCAAAAATATGCGAAATAAAATTTTGTATACAGCATCGTTAGGTTATAAAACACATTTTGGTATAAACTAGCTATTTTTTTGACCAACCAATAAAAATATGCAAATGCATACAAGTGTTGGCCCTAGTCATTACTATTTCAAATATTTGAATATGCCATTATGATTTATGGCATATTATACAATTGCAAAAAATCTAGAATAAATTATGCACAAGTCAATAAAATGCTGACTCCTTGTTAACTTGTATAGGTTAAATTAAGATTATAATTTCAGTAATCAGCGATGATAGGTAGTAAGTAATATCTATACACGGGCACATCATACATTACCATTAGGTATGTCTACGATCTACCTATATAATCTACGTATACTTAATATAGTTAATACTTTGTATTTACTAATTACAATTATTAATAATACTAAACTCGTTTTTAAGATATGTTTAATTATTTATAATTGTATTATGTGCATTGTTTACATTATCAAAGTAATAACTATATAATAGTGTTATGTAATCATTAATTGTATTATCAATATTTAAAAGCTTATAATTTATCATCGCTTATTATTATTACTCTTGCTCAGTGCTCTAAAAGCTTTGGAAGTTTGGAAGTATTGGCCATTCATCCATTGGTGTTGGATATAGATGAAAACTACCCATAAATTATAATTCTGAGGAATAATGTGTTTTTTTGTGTCAGCCATCACCTTTAGAGTAGGTAGTAAAAATGCTTGGATTTTCTTAGGATAATTTCTTTGGTTTTGTCGAGTGTTTCTTTGAATATCCCCCTCCTTATTTTGGATTAGACAGTCAAAACTATTCAGTATTTGCTATATTAGTCTCCATGCGAGGTAAAAAGTATACATTTAGTTTTTGTATAAAGTTTTTAAGAAATTGAATAAATTTTGAAATTCTGTAATATTTATTTAGTTTGATAATAATATATATACCCCCTTCTTCGATTTGTGTATCGGCTAGTTGTATGTAAAGGCAAAAATTAATTAAAACATTATAATACTGACATAAACGCCATGTAATCGTAGCCTTATCCAATTAAGTAGTACAAGTTGAGTCTAACCTAACCTAACCTTGAGTCCTACACTCTCGAGTTCAGATGTTCTCTTAAGTTATAAGTATTTGAAGTATTGGCAGATTGGCTATACCACTTTCGTCATGAATTTCTACAAACTGTAAAAAGGCCTCTCTCATACTTTATTTTTGTTCTTTTATTAACCAGTGATGGACCATTTTTTTTATAGGTATATAACGCATGATCCTTGAACCTCCCACCATAGTAGTGCCACTCTGCCAGAGTATATACATAAAATATATAAAACACAAATTAAATAAATTTAGTGTATCCTCTGCGACCTGCGTGTATCATGTATAAGAATTTTTGAAACCGGTTTTTAAAGTACCTACTACCTACCTAATTAAGACCACGAGACTCAGCGCAAGCGTAGTATAATTACGAAATAGAATATATTATATGTATATTGTGTATGCAAATTTTATATTATTATTCTATTATTTTCAATAGTGACCTTGCATATACTATGATATTTATTTGTTTAATACTTTTTTTTTTTTTAATGCAATATTTACAATCTATACAACAAGTAGTACCATAAGTAAATTTGATAAAGTAGTATAATACATAACTTGATGACTTGAGGGGGGGAAAACCGTCCATCAACAGTACCTCATAATAATGGTGGGTTCTCAATGGAGACCGTTTTTTTTTTTTATTGTGTTAGGCAAGGGCGTCTCTTGGCCATTTTCTTTTTAACCTTCTAGGAGGGTTGCTGAGGATGGTTAAAGAGGACATGCGAGAAATAAGAGGGTTTTGGTTTAGGTGTAGTTTGGAATGAAACTTTTTGTAGTGACGAGTTGCTAATTCATTGGCAGTTGAGATTTGTAGATCCTTATGTAGTGCGTTGCTAGTCATATACCAGGGGACTCCAGTTATTTGTCTAAGACATATGGATTGAAACGCTTGTAAGGGTCTTATATTGGATGGTTTGGCTTAACGGATACAAAAGCTGGTACCTAAGTGGATGTTACTTAACTGTACAGTAGCTTACAAGTGGGTCACTGTAAAGGATGGTGTTAAATTTGAATTCAATGATATAAAATCATTGTATTCGAAGACGATCATAAACGTAGACGGTCTGTTAAATTATAATATTACTCAGAAATTTAGTATAGGTATTCGATGATGTTATTGTGATTAAAGACATTTTTTATTTACATAAGTTTAAAATACTAATAATAATCGAAATTGCACATGCCTATAAATAATTCAAAACGACTAAAAATATTTAGACAATTTTATACTGTATAGAAAACGTGAACATAAACATTCAGAGCAAATTTCATGAATCTACGGTATTTTTTTTTTAATTACATCAAAAACCAAAATCGATATTAATTTTTTGTTTCTTTTCCTGCCACTTTTGTAAACTATTGAAATTTTTACCTCTGAATCATTCAAAGTACCAACTAGATTCACTTCTCTACCAGACAAAATTTTGCTGAAGAAAATCAAAGCACTTTTACTGCCCCAAAAGGTGTTGACAGATACAAAAAAACACATATCATTGTAAAAATTAATACATTCATAGGCCCATCGCTCTGCTCGAAATGTAAAATCGTTGAAAATAGTGACCCAAGAGCTCAACTTAACCTAACCTAACCTACCGTATACGTTTTTGAAAAAGTCAACTGCGGCCCAATTTTCAGGATCGCACCTACAGTAAAACAGAATGGTATCCACTTTTTAAAATTATACTTACGTACCCTTCATTGTTACGTGTAACGAAGACCGGAGGATTAACTGGTGTTGGTACTGCTTCTCCTCCGGCCACGCCTACCTAGGTACCCTTATACATTTATACTAATTACTCTTCCTATACTGGCTATATACTTGTCAAATGACAATTTTTAAGAAGTTATAAAAATACCCGTGAACTATTTTTGGTAATACTTAAAGATATCGTATAGTTGCCTCCAACTATTCTGAAGTAATGTCATTTGTATTTCATTTGAGTAGGTACCTAATGAGTAAAGAGTGTAAAGTAACTTCATTACATTTTAAAATACCTAGTCGTCTACTTATCTAACACTATGTACTAGTTATACTAGCTAGACAGCTAGTGTATATATAATATATACATATATATTTATACGTATATATATGTATTATACTATTATATATGTGTACTAATTACAAATATATAATCTACAATTATAGTTTGTAGAAATATTAACAAAAGTATATTACATTTTCAGATATTTCTCTGACTCTTTTAAATAGATTCTAACATCAAAATACATGGAGTCAAATGAAAAAACCAACTTAATATCTAGTCATGTGTACACAAATTACTCGAGTAAACCACATCATTTGCATTATACAAGTGCAATAAGCCGAGTGGTTAGTATAATACAATTATAGATCACATAATTTTTTTATAAAATAAAAAATATACCTAATTAATTAGGTATGTATATGTTTTGAGATTTTCATTTATAAAAACATATACGAAATTGTTTTCATATAGTGTTAAAAACCTAGCTATTTCTTTTGAATTAAATTATATGATAAAATTAAAGTCTATTTATTTTTAAACTCACCATATATAATTTAATATCATAATAATTTATTATTTAATTTAGTAAAGTATTCTTATTGGTTGCTAATTTATTGTTTTGTTTCAGTTATGGCTGGCATTGGTGGTTACAATGCCGTGTTTGGCACCGGGCATGAGTTTTGGATATTCTGCTATTGTTTTGGATCAATTGCAGTTAACAGTTGACGAACAATCGTGGTTTGGTATTTATTTAAAATTTTTTTTTAAATTTAATTTTAATGTTGATACATAATGGTTTACCGTAACATAACAATACGCTCGAAAATGCAATCTCAATCACCAATCAGTGTTGCTGTATAATTCACAATTTTTTTGTTTCCGGTGCAGCTAGTCTACCGTCCACGATGATGCCGATCGGTTGCCTGTTGAGCGGGCCGCTGATCGACAAGCTCGGTCGAAAGACGGCGCTGATGGTCACCAACCTGCCGTCTTGTCTGGGCTGGCTGCTGTTGTCCAGGCAGCCGGCCAGCCTGTACTTGCTGTACGCGGGCCAACTGCTGGTGGGCATGTCAGTGGGCTTGTCTACGACCCCGGCCACGGTGTACGCAGCCGAGTGCATCACGGTCAACTACACCGGACTGCGTGGATGCTTCACGATAATGACGTCCATCATGCTTAACTTCGGCATGTTCCTCACATACCTGCTGGGCACGCTTATGCCCGCATACGTGGTCGCTTACGTGGCGGCGTTTGTGTCATTCGCAGCTTTCATATTCATTGGGCTGCTCATTCCCGAGAGCCCGCCGTGGCTATTCGGACAGGGCCGACGTGGCGACGCAGAGTTCTCGCAGCGGGTGTTGCGTATTGCCCAGCCCATACTGCAAACGTCTCGGGCTATGTCGCTAGACGGGGACACTGCCGCCATGGTGCGCGTCCGGTCTCGGATTGTCGACAGGCTGGCCGAACCGGACGTTTACAAACCGATGGTGATAATGACGACGTTCCTGTTTTTCCAGCAGGCTTGTGGTTCGTTCGTGCTGACCGCATACATGATTCAGCTGCTTGGCGGCCTCGGAGTGACCGTCGACAACTACCTGGTGACATTGCTCGCGGGGTTCACCAACCTGGCGGCCATGGTCGTGCTGTCCGTGCTGCTCACCCGGTCTGGTTTCAAACAGCTGTCGTATGTGTCGTGCGCTGGCTATGCCGCTTCAATGGTGCTGCTGGCCGTGTTCCTGCAATGCTACGACGGTGGCGACGCATTCGTCACCAACGTGGTGGTCATCGGCTGTGTGTTGCTAAATATGGCCATGAACGGGCTGGGACTGCGGCCCATACCGTACGCCATGCTCGGCGAAGTGTTCCCGACCGACGTGGCAGGTGTGGCTGGTTCTATCGTCGCGTGCATGTCGTCAGTGTTCAACTTCGTCGCCATCAAGTCGTACCCATATCTGCGCATATGTTTGGGTCCGGGCGTGTTCGCGGTGTACGGTGCGCTGGCGCTGCTAACTCTCGTGTTCGTCGTGGTGATCGTACCGGACACTCGGGGCAAGACCATCAAGCAGATCAGCGACGAGTTCCTGCGGAAGAAATCAGACAGCGGTTGTGGCGGTGGAGGTTACTGCAGTAAGAGAAGCAGCATTGCGGACGAGGTCATTTGAACTGTGCACGATGGGATGTACCTTTATTATAATATTTTGATTTTCGAGGATCTCATTTTTCATTATATCGTCATAAATATAATATTATGTGATTTCTTTTTTTTTTTTTACATGCGTGACGATTATTATTGAATATAAATTATAATATAATAATATATTAATATGTGTTTGTTCGTCTATATATGTGCAGGTAATAGGTTTATGTACCTACATCGATTGGGTTCTGTAGGCACTATAAGTCAACCACTAGGTGAGTACCTACGATGTAACTTATAAGTTGTAATACAGATTAAAAATAATCAATCAAAAATACTTATCAAAGGCCATCCCTGAAGTTTAAAATTGTGTAAAGTAGTAATATCTGTATACAGACAAAACAAAAAACATTTAAAAAACACATTATTGAAACAATGCATTCATCTTTCAACTCAGAATCTAAAAGCTCGGAAGGGGACCCATCCCCATTACCCCCTGCGATTTTAGGTGGCACCCACCACTGCAGGGTCATTGGGTATAGATGTATAAATAGATGTACACAGCCACATAGACAATATAATAATATTACGCAGTCTTATAGTCAGACACTCAGACACTCAGACTAGCCAGCACTTATATTGCGTTTCGAATTCATCACCTTATCTACGGAAAATGATAAGTATACCTAAGTAACAAATAAATTAAATAATATGTTCATTGCGTGTTGACTATGTACGCATGGGTGTATATGGTCATCATTTGATAGATGCTGTAGCAATAAAGCCAAAAGTGGCTCAAATGCATTAGTCCGAAAATAACAAAACCATAAGTAAGAACCAAGTATTGGAGGTAAAGGTAACGTCATAATTGGGTTTCGAATTTAAAATTCCTGTACTAGATGTGTTAGAGAGTTTTTTAGTTACCTATTACTTTACACTAGTTGGGCTGCTAACAATGCCGCAACCCGGTAAAGGTAAAGCACGATTCCATACTAACAATAATAAAAAAATATGAGAAAACCGGTTAGGTTATAGTTATTATACCCTGTGTATATAGTTATTATAGTTTTACCGTGGAAAAAAACGGCTCTTGAGCCCAAAGTTTTGGTGGAAATAAACAATCATCTACGTACGTATGTAATATATAATCAGAAAATAAGTATCCTATACCTAGATTTGGACATATAAATACAAGTTCAACGAATGCATTTTCGATCTCCTGTGGTAGTAGGAATGGCAACCCGAAAAATAGTTTTGACCATTTTTCTAACACGTCGTCGTTTATATATGCTGTTTGGAGTTGCTGCTCAGAATTTATCTGTAAAGTTAATACGTTATAATTTTATTATGTGTATATTTATAATATATTTTAAGCATTATTACTTTTCGCCACCAACACTTCCTTAAATGAAATCGACATGCTTGAATTTTAATACTTGGGAATACCTCTCTACACCATGCTTTATGAGCGCTTATTTCAAAATCTAAATGTATCTTGTGAAGTTGTGAATAACAAGTTTTTTTAAAATACATTTTTTGCTTAATTCTTGAAGAAATAACCACATGTCAGTGTAGGTTTATTTGGATTTTTCAGGCAAAAAAAAATAAGGACAAGGAATCGTGTTCTATCCGTTGCAACTACCGGGTGATGCGCATGGCATATTATCAGCCCCAAACTTATATATAGGCTCTCCAGGCGGTGTGTATATAGTCGTGACTGTGGACATTTTAATTTAAGAGGCCTCGCTATGGTTTTTTTTTAAAGGAACCATAGTTCGGCAATTTATGGTCATCGACACCCATGGTCTATACGTGTTAGTTCTTAGTTATAAATTTGTAATTTATTATTACTTTAGTTATTATAGAGTAAGAATGCCACTCTCGTATGCTTATGCACATGCCATAACTCGATATAACAATAATATATACAATTCACTATACGAATTTTACGACAACATACTAAGGTATTGCTTTTGTTTTAAGAATTTTGTCAAAATTCTAAATTCAAAAGCTCATAAAAATTTACTGTGGATTTTTTTTTTTTTTTTTTTTTTCAAGACAAGTGTTACTCGGTTCTTGTGCTATAGAAAACCTGTTTGTTTTTTAAGTAATTCATTTAAGTAAGTGTTCATTATTTACCTACTCTTAACTTTTTTTTAATATCCACTAACAATAACTTACGAGAACCTTGTATTGTGTTTTACAATTTCAAGTATTTTGTCGGCATTATTGTTAGTTTTAAAAAAACTAATAATAACAATCGAAAATTTCATATGCCTATAAATAGTTCAACACGAGTCAGAATATTTTGAAAATTGTATTGTGTACAGAAAATGAGGATGTTTTAGAATAACATCAAAAACCAAAATCGATTTTGTCAAAAACTAATTTTCCGTAAAAATTCCCGTTTCCCTTAATTTTTTGTTTGTTTTTTCTGCCACTTTTGAGAACAATTGGAAAGTTTTTACTTTTGACCCCTCAAAGTAGGTACCAACTAGATTCACTATTCTACCAGAAAATATGCTGTGAAGAAAATCGAAACACTTTTACCACATCGAATAAAAAACTAAAAAAATTGAAAATATCTATAAATAACTTCCAAGATTCCTCGAAATATGTAAATTGAGAATTTCATCACGTTTGGATAATTATAAAAATAAACATCATTTGGTACAACATTTCAAGTATCTACGGTTAATAGAAATTGATTAATAACAAAAGAAGAAAATCTTTGTATGAGAGTTTGTTAATTGACGGGTGAATAATGAATATCCAATAGGTATCTAACTTCAAACGCTAGTAAAAAATTATTTGAACCTCCAGTAAATTTTTTTGTGGAAAGTAGAAAAACTCAAGGGGAATTTTGTATTAAAATTGAAACGCTTAGATACAAATGGATGAATTTATAACTCGAAATAATCTTCCCATTTTAATGAATTTTGTAGCATATATAAAATATGTACACATATGATGAAGTTTCTGTTTTCAATAAAAATGTTATAAATACATTTATTTACTTCTTATGAGTTATATCATGCTTTTCTGTTTACCCGGAGCACCCTGTAATTACGAATTTTAAGTATGTAAAGCTTAACAATTTAATAATTCTCAAACTTGCTTTTAAATTAAAATACTCTGAAAAACATCCTAGAGAATTACACTATAATTGGTGATATTTGATGATATCCAATCATATTGAATTCAGTCTAGACCAGCGTTTCCCAAAGTGTGTTCCGCGGAACCTTAGGGTTCCGTGGGACAATGTCAAGGGTTCCGTTAGATGTATGAGATTATTGAGAAAATTATGTTTATTTAATGTTTATTGTTTAAAAAATGTTTGATTGAAAATTTTTTTTTAAACTAAGTTTAATAATGAAAAGTCATTAACAGTATCATTAAAATATTATTTGGACTTGAGAGTTTAAGGAATTGATTTTCCTATTTAAATTTACAAAAAAAACCTACATTTGTGCGTGGTGTCCTCTCGGCAACAGAAATATTTTTCTGAATACGATAGGTATATATGATATAATAAGTAAATTTTTATTTAATAGTATAAAATAAAACAAATTAAATCTATTATTCAGTATTTTTTTTGTAATATTTAATATAAACAATGTTCTAATACTAAGATAAATAAATAAATAAAGTTAATATGCATAAAATAGGTACACATTATTGTGTACATAAATTGTTTTATTGTATTATATAATAGGTTTTAATTAAAATAAAGTGCTCTAATTTAAAGATGATAACATTTATATTATAGCTATACAAGCAATCACAGTTTAGATGCTGTACGATACAAAATAATTAGTTCTTGGTTGAAAATGGACCTAAAAAGAGTAAAATATGTATTATTATCAATACATTAGAAGCTGTTTAATACTAAGAATATTCAACTTAAAGAATTATTTTTTTGTAAAATTCTTTTGCTTTTGACATTGACTTGATTTCTCCAAATGTAACACCATAAATTACTAATATTCTTTTAATTCCTATTTAATAACATATTTTTTTATTTTCAATATACACTATTTCTTCTCAACTATCATATTTAACAATTAAGTGTGTAATAAATACTAACACATAGAAAAAATACATACGTACATTTGTATTTCATATAAGTTAGCAAAATTACATTGCATACATTTAAGTTTATTATAATAACTAATAATAAGTTTAAAATGAACATGTAAAACAAGATCATATTTTGCCATGTTATCATGTTATGCAAAAACCTATTTGATCATAAGCTTCACCAGTCAGCAATTTATGTTATTTGGATAGTATATTAATTAAATAAGAGGAAAGAAATATCTAAAGTATTTCTAAGTCACAGTGCCTTATTTCAGGGAATTTTGACCTTAGCTGCCATTCAATTCTATCAATCTCTCCACCTATCATGTCAATTATATTTTCACTGTGTTTCAATAAGAATGCCTCGGCGCAATCTGCATTTTCAATTGCACTGACTTCAGCCATCAATGCTTCAGGATCAAGTCTGTCTAGGTATTGTTTAGCTAATTCTCTTCCATCAAAATCCAACTCAGCCTTATATCTAATCAAACTGTTTCCCATATCAATGCCTTTTACATCATGTATAGCCCTTATCATAACATCAGATTCCAATTCAGCATTGATTTTGTTTAAATATGTTAAGCTAATGGAACGACCAACTATAGCAGATGTGTTAGTGTAAATAATGAAGGAGGCAACTGTGCCCAAAATGCCACCAACTAGTAATGATCCAACAGCGTCTGGTATAGGAGTATTTAAGTATGATGTTAATGACATGCATACAGCGGCAACTCCAATAGATAATACAGCAGCACAATCTTCTAATAACACAACATTGACAGTAGGATCATGACCTCGTAACACATATTGTAAGAAAGAAATCTTTGACTCTTTGGAACATTTTTTAATGTTATTGATAGCAACTGCTAATGTTGCTCCTTCAGATATAAATGAGCCACCAAGTACAAAATATGCCCAAAATAGAGAATCTAATGGTTCAGCATGAATAAGTCCTGTTACACCATGGTAAATGGAAAGTCCAGAGCCGATACAAAAGATTCCCACTCCAGATATTAAAGAAGCAACATATTTCATGTTTGAGTACCCATACGGGTGATATGAATCTGCTATTTGGACAGATTTATAAATACCAAATGCAAGAATGACTTGATTAATTGTATCAGCCATTGAATGTATACATTCTGAGAACATGCTGTGACTTCCAGTATAGAACCAAGCCAAACCTTTGAAAATTGTATTCATACCATTTATGAAAACAGCTGTCAAGACAACACGACCAGAGTCACCAAACAGTCCTGATGACTTTTGTGTTTTGAGATCATTTTTGTTTAAGGTCTGTCGACGGTTACTTCTTCTATGTGCTTTGATTGTAAACATTGTTTGTTGTTTTTTCTTTCTCTCAATTTCTCTCTTAATTAGTTGAGTCACTAAACCTTCTTGAGACCCCCAAACTTCAGATGCTTTGGCTACAACATCTTTTCGCCAATAAACATTTATTGGAGGCTCGTCATCAAATGGAGATCGCCGTTTGATAGTTTTAAGGCCTTCTAGATCAGTTGATTTCAACATGAACTCAGTCATTGCACGGCGAGCAGTAATATAATTTCGATCAACAGATTTTTCTGGTCTTTGGACTTTATCAACATTTTTTTCAAAGCTGACTTTATCTAACACCTTTTTAACCGGAACACTCTTTAATAATGGGTCTTTTTCTTCTGGTTTTGCTTTTATATTATCAGAACTATCATCATTAATCGTAGAAAAACATCGAATTGGCCATAATTGATTTTTTGCAATAGAAATCTCATGAGTTTGGTATCGAGAAACATATCGTGATAACTTGCGAATTAGTATACCATCACTATTCATAGATGATATGATGCATTTGCATGGCACCCCGAGATTTTTGTAGAACAGCGTCATTTTATTTCTAAAATGAAACATAATAAAATTTAAATATATTCATTGTAAGTAAAGAGAGAAGTTTTATTTTCATTTTCTTGTATTATGTAAATGGTTAGACCAGAAAAATACATAGGAACACATGCTATAATATGCACAACACATTGAAATTAATTATTAGCTAAGAACTTTGGAAAAAGTTATGTTTTTACTTAAATTCATTAGTTTGAGTTAATTTAAAATTCCCTTCAATTATTTTAAACTACTCTTTTACAAAGATGCAATTAAAATCAGAATATATTTTTCAATTATTATTAGGTACCTATACCTTAAATAATTATTTTATACACTGTTAATTTGACAATTTGAACAAGGTTTTGGATTATATATTTCTATACTGCTATTATATAAGTGCATTAAACATAAATATGTGTATCATAAAAAAATAATTTTTCTTACTTAGATTATACTATTTGTAAAAAATATAAGTTTTGATAGACGTTGTTCCAAATTTTCAATGTAGATCAATATTTCTCCAAGAAGATAATCTACAAAAAAAATATGTATTAGGTAGGTAAATTATGTAATAATACTAATAAGTAATAGATGTATTAAAATTATTAATGTAGGTATAAAAAGTTATTTCGTAACTTTAGAAAAAATGTAATGGGTTCTGTGTTGAGAACAAATAATAAAATCAACTATCTGGAGTATAAGATACAAAATTATCAGGTTAAAATGTCAACTTATGTGTAACTAGCCCCAAGCCAAATATGATTAAAATAATGAATTTAGTAGTAAAAAATTAAATATAATAATATACCTGTCATCACTATTTTATTTGATAAAAATATATTTGGGCTATAATGCTATATATTAAGTACATATACAAGATTAATTTTTGATTAGAAATAGGTAGATAATATTATAAAATACATGCTTCGTTGCTTCAAAGGATTAATTAAATGTATTGTATACTTTGAATAAAAATAATAATAAGAACGTTCAAACTTGGTATGTTAATAAATAAAAACTATTCTAAGATTTATAACATAATAATTATAATTTACAGTTGGTATTAATCATATAGGGATGACAAGATAAATTTTATATTTTAATTAAACTATAAAAGTTGTACAAGAGAAGTAGAGAAGTCACTGCAGTATAAGGTAAATAAAATATGTTTGTACATTTATCTAGCTGATATTCTGATATATTTATAAATTGACAAATAAATCAAAATACTGCTGGTTAGGTACAATCATGTGTATAAGCTAATATTTTGTGTGTCTGAAGAAATTAAATAAGTTCTATGTGACTAATAAGATTAGAGAATTAAGTAGTTACTAAAAAACTTCTAAAGCTTATTTCGTTCGTTTAGATCATCAAAAAGACTACCTTAGGTAGATTAATTGATACAATATTACAATATGGTCACACAAATATGAAACATATACGAAAATAACATAATGTACCTATTATTTATTATGTATTATGATTTACTTACCAGTATGTATGATAGTTATCATAGTCTAAACATTCTCTCGTCTTGTTTGTCTACTAAATATGACAAATGTGTCGTTTTGTAGTACAAATATCATCGACCTTCGCTCTAGTAAACATTATGATGGCCAAGAATTGGTACTTGGCTGATCGCCGTATAATTATATTATAATAATTTACGAAACGATTAATACCAAATAGCAATTAGCGTACCTATTGAGCAAATGTCTTACATTTGAACATTTCACTTTTCAGTTGTCTCGCTCAATAATCACTAAATCATGTCTTCTCAAATACTCAATATTGTATCATAATAGTAATACCTATCCAATTATATACTCATTGCCCTATGATGATAAAAACATTATTGTTATCAAATTCCGATAAGAATGTTTACGTTTCATCCATAAAGTGATTAGGACCCGGTAACCACAAAAAAATAAAAATACGATCACAGTTATCTATTGTTCCACACGCCTACATTGGATTGTTTTGAATTTTAACGGTTTAAGACCACCGAACTCATAATTCAGGTAGGACTATAGAAGGTCTGTGCCTGTATTTATTGATTACTGCCTAAGGTAGTCAGTTGTGAACGCGGAGAACGTGTTCAGCCACTGAGTACAACTAGGTAACTAAGTTACAACTTTACTAGCTACAAGTTTACCATTGTACTTTAAAGCATGAACAACTGATAAGTGATTATTGTTTACTGTTTAGTGCTAGGTGCATAACACGCGTCCCGACGCCAAATCGTCGTGACTCGTGACCTGTTCTGCTGCTGTCACCCATTCGTTTCTCGTCGCGTCCGCCTTTCGGATCTTTCGGTTCCGATTAATTTTGCGTCCTCTTCCATTTCTGTCGTCATGATGCGCCGGCGGTTAAGTTTCATCGGTGGTGGAGAGTGTTGCGACCCAGGTGCACTCACTGAGAGCATTGTCGAGTCTGACATCCAGCGACAGATACGTGACAGGTTTGACAACGAATGCCCATACTCATTGACCAGGAAGTCTGTGCGGAACAGCCCCCGAGCGCGGAACTGCAACTCGCAAGTATGGCAGGTGGCTGTCAACACAGTGGCCAAAAAGCGCGACACACTCAGGCGCAGTGTCAGCTCGGTGTTCAGGTCAATGAATAACCTCAGGACCGGATTCAAAGTAGCTGCACAGGTATATTATATGTGTATTGTGGGTGGGTAGTGTTATGATTAAGATGATTATATTTCCGTTGGTGTTGTAAATACCAATGTTGGCTGTGTTAAACATGGTGCATAAAAATCAATTAATATGCATTATGCTTAAAAATTTTAAATATTTATATATAAAATAAAAATGGATTATGTTTAATAATTGTTTATCAATGCAAGGTGATTCATGAACCTAAATACCAAACTAAATTTGTAAAAGGATAATATTTTTCAATTATTTACAGTTTAGGTACATACCTACGTATCTTATATTATAATAATATATTAATATAGATAAATATAATGTACAATCTATTTTAATTAAATTTCAATATCCCCTACAAATTCCCTATGTAATGATTCATTTGAATTAACCCAAAACTTTTTCTTTCAAACCTTGTTGTAAACTTGTAACACAGCAATGCAATGCAAACAATATTATAGAATTCAACTCATGATGAAATCATGTTGTTATTATATAATTTTATCTTAATCACAAAAAAAATGAAAAATAGTGATGTTTTGTAAATAGTATTCTAATCATTGACCATTATAGTATATGACTGTAATATACTACTGGTGTCAGCTGGTTGAGAGCGTACATATCCCAGGTCTCTATTGCAGACCCAATTAGACTTGTAAAGCTCTATGAGTAGTTATTACTTATTTGGTATCAGAGTTCAAGCACCTTCATACCAATTGTCACATAAATATTATTATTTGAGTGACAATATTTTTTTGGAAGTATCCTTATTTTATTAAAACCAGAATACTTATTACGTTGCTATTAGTTATTACCAATATTTCATTATAATTGGTTTAAAGTAAAGTAGTTGCTTACATTAATACCGATTTCTGTTTTATTCTAAATAATTTATGACTAATCGATTGAGTATCAGATGACTTGCAATAATGTGCTTGCTGAGTTTGTTGTCATACTACATGAACCCCACTATTACCACTATTGGTTGATCAAACTAACAAGCTTTATTGTGTTTCAGAAATTACGGCCATCAACTAGACGTCGTTTTAAATTGGATGAGTCACCTCTGACTCCCAACACGCCCAGAACCAGGTCTAAGTGTTTGTTGGGCAGAACACCCACCAAGATGTACAGTCCTTTTGCCATTGATACTCCACCATCATTGCGTAGGCGATTTGCTTACAGAAGAAATCAAAATATTGACACTGAAAGGTAATTTATCATACAAATAAATTGATAAAAAATGATAAATTTATCAAAGTGTATCCCTCATATTCGGTATTTTATTATAGTTAAAATTTGTTTAATGTGTAATAATTACAGTAACAGATCTTTAACGCAGCTACTAAAAAGATATATTTGTTTAAGTATCATTTATTAATTTTATGCCAGCTTTAATAAAAGTGTCATTCAATTATCTATTTAAAATTACTTGGTTGTTTGGGAACGGTTACCAAAAGATTTTATTCAGATTTTTGTGACTTATTTGTTTGTCTTATTTTATCAATGCTGGTTTCAGATTTCTAAATTTTAAGTTTTATTTTGGGTGCAAAGCTCTTTTGTTTTACTACATTTCATGTGAAATTTAAATCCTTCAAAATGTAGAATTATATTAAAACATAACAATTAATTTACTTATTTATTTAGAGACTTGTTAATTAACATTGATAGTGTCTTTTATTTGCTACCTTGATGAAAATGTAAAAAACAATTTTCACTCCTTTTTAATACTTTATTATTTAAATTGCACTGATTCTGATGGTTGGTTGTTTACAGTAACAAATCAGTGAATGGGAAAAGTGAATCTAACAGTTATGAAACAACAAATAATGAAAATAAGCACCCAACAATCAATTCAAATAAAGAAGATGAAAATTATGGAAGCTTAATATAAGTATTAATCCCTAAGAGAGTACTACCCATTATTGTATTTTTTTGCAGGAAACTAGATATTAAAAGTATACTGAATGTATACTGGCTACGTTGTTTTTGCATAACACATTTTACGTATTATTTTTGTACTATCTATTTTAATTTTGAAATATTTGAATTAATGTTCCTTTCCAATATAATTAGAAAACATGGCAATTATATTTTCTTTTTAATCATAATCATATAATTTATTTGTTACAAATATTTAATATTATAGTTTTTTTCTTTTTTGGTAACTAATAAATATTCTGACAAATTATTTGATGAATAGAAATTAATACTGTTGTGTACACTTTTAGTTATTAATAGTCTCAAGATGCATGATTCAATAACATAAGTATTAACTCAATGTTAAGTAAATGTTAGCTAATGTAAGTATTAACTATATTTTGATGCTACTTTAAAAAATATTCCTAAATATATTGTTAACATAATACAGACTAATTCTAGATCCATACATCTCTAAATAGAATTTATATTAGTCTCATCAGTTTAGTAATTACTAAAATACTATTGATAGGCACTCACATATCACATTATTTTATTTTTGTATACTACCACTAATTTGGTTATAGTATATTAGTATGTTTTATAAAACAATTTTTTTTTTTGAGTAAATATCAAATATTTATTTTTATATATAATTCTGCAACAGTTTTATACTTCACATGTTTAAGTTTAATTTTTTTTCACTTAACATTAAGAATAAAGACAATATTATATTTTTATAATAAATTACGAATAAATAATCACTATTATTCTATTATATTCCTAACCAATATGTTTTAAAGTGTAAATTCAATCAATCTGTAATTTTTTGAATGTACCATTCATGTCCAATTCATCTGTTTTTGTATGTTCTGGTCGTCTCGACAAGTCAGCCTTTGGTCGTGCTTCCAACCATTCTTTGTTAGCCATCAAAAGTTCTAACATATCCTCTGTAAGGATAAAAATAATTTTTAAGTAACAATACAAAAAAAATCCTATCATAGCCCATAGGTGTACAGAATATTATTATTGTATGTCCTGTGTACCTGTGTACCTATAAATTTCTAGATACATAGGTATTGTTAGCACAGCAATATTACATAAACACACTACATTTGGTATACCTCACCTTCATATTTTTCCAGATTTCCACCTGTGCCGCCATATATGTCAGGCAATACATCTTTTGGAATATACTGGTACAAATCTTCCAGTGAATCGTGTACAAATATCTATAGAAGTGTAAAATAAGTAGACAAACATATAAGATCTTAATTTGTACAGTATTTATACTTGTCTTTATTATGTCACAATTTAATCCTTAGAGTTAAAAAGAATAATTTACTAATTGTGTTTAATAAGGATGGTAAGAATAAGCAATTTTATGTTTTTATAAAAAGTGTAAATGATTAATGATAAGTCGGCACAACTGCACAAGGAAACTAATTATGTAAATATAAATTTAAGTACAACTACCCTTGGTGAGGGATGGACGGATGGTAACATACGCTATATACGGATGTTTTTAAGCGCATTGGACTCATTAGAGCCATGCTTTATTTTTTTGTCTTACTAATATTTCAATAATATAATGTCATAGACTACCTATAGTGGTCCAAACTTACTCTGTCTCTGATTTTGTTCGATACAAATAGCTTGAAGAACGTGATGAGGCGGCTCATAAACTTGGGAGGGTTTATGTAGTGAACAGTTTTTACTCGCAGCGGAAATGAATCCTGTAAACGGTAAGTTAGTAAATAATTATGTTTATAAATAATAATATAAAATAAATATATTATATACCCATATAGATTATCATTGCACAATCTACAGGATGACTCCGATCAATAATTGTTTAAACTTGATTCACTATGTTAGGTAGGTAGGTACTATATATTATGTCTAAATATATATATATACGTACCTAACATTAGAGTAATTTGGCTATGTAAACATAGGTACTTCCGTAATTTAGGCACAAATCAAATTTACTTTACCAGACACCCTTCTTCTTCGAAATATGTGTTTTTGTATGCAGAATTTTAAAAGTGTGCTTACCGTTCAAAAGTAATGGCAGTTAGAAACTTAGTGACATTCTTTGACTGGGTCACACACCCGCCCGGACAGTTTAAGATGAAAATATTTCTTGACTTTATACTAGCCATTAGGTATATCGTACATGCAAAACCACTCAAGGAAGGTCACGTATCAAATTGTCATATTACCTATATGAACGGTGAGTTCCACACATTTTTTTTAAAACGAGTGTTTAAGATTTATACATAGGTACCTATAATAGAGCCAATAGCGGCAATAGGTACAGCAGTTATACTCACAATGCAACATCTCAAAAGATTTTTTGTTAAAGTAGGCGTGAAGGCCATGAATTGAGCCAGTCGGATGTGTTTCAGGTCGTACAAAATAATGTTGCCGTACATAGGCTCCAATTTAAGCTGCAAGTCCAGAATGGCTATGGACACTTGAGAAAACAGCATGACGTCGTATTTGTCATCGTCCGTCGATGGGCGGGTCGTGGTACAGAAAACCCTGTTACCCTCCGGCGTCAGTTTCGGGAACAAACACACAGACCTGTAAAAGTGTAAAACGTTTAATAATTATTAATTATTATCATTCATATATCATGTAGGTAGGTGTAGCGTGTAGGTACCTAATATAAAAAAATTAAAATGTGCTAAACTCAGTCGCGGCACTACAACAATGTTCAATACATATTGATACCTACCTAATTTATAAAATTATAAATAGAACAAATCCTTGATACGCATTTATAACATGTAAGTGAATAACAGACATTTTAAATTTGGGAGGGGGGCTAGAAATCAGAATTCAGTCAGATATACTTACCTAATTACCCCATTTAGTAATTGTCGCAAAACTACAAAAGTAACAAGTACTTTTAAAAATAATTTTCCTAGTAGGAAAATTCAAAATAGACCAAAACGAATTGACCAATCATTTGGTGCCTTAGAATATTGATGAAGAAAATAAAATAATATGGACCCAATTTACATGTACACCTTTTGCACCTACAAATTGAGTCAAGTTCTCATATCAACTTTTTATTAGCTGAAAAAAAACCTAGTCTTATTATTAGTTTGGCAAAGTATTTTGGGCGATTGTAAACTCCGCCAGAATACCGGTTAGTTGAAAAGGTGTAATGTAAACTCTGTCATTTTTATTTTCTTACCTGTAATAGATATATCGAAGCTCTACCAGCTCTTATGTAAAACTTGATAATATAAATCTCAACTAAGAAGCTCAAAAATCCAAAATGATACTTTATATAAGTAGACAGTAGTTATGATAATGGATTTGTATTAGACTAAGAAGTCAGAATATCTATAAATTGTATCTCATCATTTTAGAACCCGTATACAACTCATCTCTATTATATAGTTGAGTGGCTCTCCAGGTACGTACCTACTAATGTACCTATAGAATACCTATTTTTTTTTGATGTTGGTCTTAAATTAACAATCACTAATTTAAAATTTAGATTTACATGGATCAGCATTATAATTTTAAATTATCCATTATAGTACCTAACGTATTGTCATTGGGTGACTACTTTTTCAAGTATCTCGTGTCATTAATATATATATCTGCATACAGTCTTATTGTAATAAATGAATTACAAATTGTTTTTAAAATTAAGATTAAAAAAAACAATTATCTGTTTTCCACTGACTTGTACTAGATTATGAGTACATTTATGATAATGATTTATCTAAAATTACTGTCATAATTAGTGTACTTAATCCTTATTTAATACAAATAAAATAAAATAATCTATACTGGTATAGGTATATTAATTTTAAATATCAATATAGGTATTATATATTTTTTTTTTGGTTTTGTTGTTTATTGCTCAAAAGGTACGCTTTTAGCCAACATTAATAGCTAATATTTTAAATTGTAGAATGTAGGTACCTAATTTTTAAATGACAATACAATATAAAATGTATTATTTGTATATTTATGATTTCGAGCTCTGAGGATTTTAACCGGGTTGAGTCATCATTGAAAAAATCAAAATATTTTATTGAATTGCCTAAAGTTTGCAATCTGATGGGAGCCAAATGACTGTAATTTTGGAGGTAAGTATCTATAGCTATAATAATGCCGTACAGGTTCATAAAAATTTGTGATACACGAGTAATGACTAATGAGTATTAATACGAGGGACATCAAGAATATTTGACTTAATAGCTCAAGAGCATAGGCGTAGAATTCTGTTAAGCCCCCTCGAAATTTGCAAGAAATTCCGGCAGCGTCGTCGATAGCCCCTTCCTCCCCATATGAATTCAACATGCTACGACTATGCTCAGGAGTTCAGAATAGTAGATTTGAGAATAATTAAGAAAATAAATTGAATAAATTGAATAAATCTTACGCTCAAATAGTGTTTGAAATTTAAGGGGTCTAATGTAATAACATTAAATAAGCTTATAAACAATTTAGAAAATGTTTGGGGGTGCATAGACCCTAAAGCCTCCCCTATTTGCGCCTATGGTGTACATAGTAAATATATTTTAAGTTGAATTGGTAGTTACCCTTGTTTAGTAGCTTCTTTTAGTTGTTCTCTAGTAAAAGAGCCAAAAAATTCTGGAAATTCTGCCCGAGCTACGAAATATGAATCAATAACTTGCTTCGATCTTTGCAAATTATACTTGCATCCAGTTATAAAATGCGCTAACCATTTTCTATCTGCAATTCAAATAAATGTATACGATTAAATATAGTTTTTTTATAATCATTTAATAAATTCATATTAATAATTATTATTATACATTTAGATTTAGACTATAGGTAAATACCTGAGAGCTAATACCTAAAACTAATTTTCAACCTTTATAGTTTTATAGAAATCTCTGACTTCTGTTCAATATTAATACATCAGTATTACAAGTTATATTATAAATATTAGAATTATAGATATTATACATAATATGAATTGTAATATAATATGACGTATATTATACTTTTTTGTTTTATTACGTGTTTAAAATTGTTTATTCATAACCTTGTCGAGCATTATACCCACACTTGTTGTCTCCGTCCAACTATATAACGCATAACAATATCACATATTATAGAAGTTCAAATCTACCTTCAATGATATAACGTCGTCTAAACAGAGGTTTTGGGTGTTTAAGTGTGTATGGTAGGATGGGGTGAAGTTAACCTGCTCTTAAGAAGTGGGCCATTCTTGTCTTTTTCAATGTTTATCAGTATAACGCCATAACTTCAACAAGGTTCTATTAAAATTCATTTAATCGATTTTACATTCATACCAGTATATTAACGAACAATTTTTGATACTATTGATACAATACGTACAAAATATGTTTTATACGTTTATAGACTATACTACTATAGTTTTATAAATGTATATCAAGTATCAAATAATTTATAATTTTTATTTATCACCTACCTACTGAATGAAGCATAAGAACCTACCTGTTTAAAACCTGCTATTTCGAACAACTGGATATTCTTGTAAATTGTAGTAGGTACCTACCTACAAGTTACTTAAGCTTCAAGGTATTCATATATTATATATTTATGTGGTGCAAAAATTGTCGTTGCACGATATGTATCTACTTCTACAGTTCTACTTATTACACCAGTAACTAGTATACTGTATATTATATATATTATAAATATTGTCGTTGACCTTATAGTTCACATTTTTCCTCGTCTGCTTTTAACAATAACTGGTATTTTTTTAGTGAAGGACTTAAAATATATTTTTGATACAAAATTTAAAATATACTGTGAGCAAATACCCCCGGGGGAAAAAATACCCACTCAAAAACTCTGATGAGATTTATAAATTGTATAATGTAGTGTACATAATGTTTGATAATATATTATAATATAATAGTCACTTGGATAGTCTTTCCGTACATTTAATTCTGTATTAAAATAATGTAAACGCATAAACGTAATATGTTGTACAACAACACATATGGTGCCATTGGTAATATACAATATATTATACACATTCCATCTCTGTAATACGATGTACAAATATATATTATCACCGTCACAATCGGCTCCTATACGTACAGGGTTCGGAAATACCTATTGTTAATTACGAGTTTAGGTATATACAATACTGTGCCATCAAATAATGAGCAGTAGCTATAGGTCTTACAATGATTAATTATGACTATATTCTATACTAGGTACCTATTAAAGTAATACATTACCTAGTGGCTAGTACATTAGTCTGGTCTTAGTGCCTTACCATTGTTTCAGTAAAAAATTTTAATATGATACATTATATTTTATTATCTAACGACTATATTATGATATAAGGGTTTTTAAATAATAGATTTATTTTAATACAATAACAGTATAGAACACGAACGACCCATTTAGCCCACCATCCATGTATACAATTTCCTGGTGTCTAGGTGCTGACAAATAACTAATAAGTTAGTTGTTATTTTTTAGCTTGTGATCAACCCGAGGCATGTTGATTTTTTTTTAATTTGGGGACTAATAATTGTTCCATAACCTATCTTATTTTAATAATATAGGTAGGTTATATGAGGAGTATATGCACACTATACCTATGGTTAAATAAGTACATTAAACTATGTACCTACCTAATTTTAACTACAAATTACTAATTTGTTTACATAAGGTAGGTATTGCGAGACATTTAAAAAAAAAATGTATATTTATACTTATTGTACCGAGGTGGCAATAAATAATGACAGTAATATTTTTATCAAGGTTATCTTGATTTAAATTATTTAAAAGGAACATTTGAAGTAGGGATCTAAAATTCTAAACAATAAACATAGATATAGCTAGGAAGTATACCTTTTAATATGAGGAAATAAAATCTTGAAAAACTTGTTACATTACTGCAGCAATAAAATATACATTTAATGCATATAATAAAAAGTTAAAACTTGGCTTGGTGAGGCGCGGTCTTATGCTTAATCTGCAAAGACGCTCAGATTGTACTGGCCGATGTTGCTAGCTCCCGGAATCCGGATGGGTGACCAGTGACCACCCGGGTTTTTAGCAATTCATCCTTGCCACACATACACACACACTTCTTACAATCCTACCAATATAAAAACTTACTAAACCTTTACAAAAAATTCCCTATTGTACCACTCTACTACACCCAATGGCCTATGTTGCCTTGGGTTCTCGGTTCTCTCTAATAAAAAAAAAGTTCAAACTTGAATGAAGTCAATATTTATGGTATAGTGTAGTTGTAGTATATCTACTATTGCGCTAAGCGGTGCCTTCTAAGAGTACCAATACATGTAATAGTATAATAGGTACTTTAAATTATAGTCTATAATAAATTAATATTACATGCATAAAAGTTTATTTAAAACCCAGTAGGGAAAAGACCCCTTGGACGACTCCGTCTAAAATGGGAAGATGTAGCAAAGAAAGACGTAAAATCGTTGGGCGGAGGTCCTCATTGGAAAGTAAAAGCAGCTGATAGAGAGGATTGGAGGATTAGGATGGTCCTAGTGGCCGTTATTACCAAAGAAGAAGAAGAAGAAAAGTTTATTTAGATAACGAGAAAAACATACAGCGGCTCACGTGTATAAAAAGTATAATTATACCTGCAGCCTGCTTTCATCGTACTTATGGGTAGGTATTGGTATATTCGCTATTATTATTTTGTATTTAAATGATATTATAAATTTATAACCTTAAACAAGGAACATTGTTTATTATTATAAATTGAAGGTCACAAAATCGAAAACCTATTAATAGTTATCTCGATGGAAATACTATTTTAGTCATTTCTACGGCGGTCGCTGGTTCAGTGAAACCGAAGCCCGACAGTTTCAACTTTCAATCGTAACATATTGAAATGGCATGGCTGGTTGGACAGAGGGGAACGCGGAGAATAAGCCGCATATTATAGACGCTATGTAACCTGGGGTTCACGAGTTCACGATAATAACTGCTGTGCCACTGCGTTGTCGTTAATATTTTATTCGTTTTAGACGTTTTAGTCACTATTATTCATTATATAATAACTATTATACGTTGATCTATCTAATATTTACATTTTTTTACATTTTTACAAGTATTTGTTCTTATTCTAAAATTGCAAAAAGACGAAATAATAGTATTTTTTATTAACGATTGATTTTAATGTTTTTACATACGAACAAAAAAATGTAAGTAAGTATGTTGTATTGTTATATAATTTAAGTCTCCCCAGAATGTACCTATGTACAACAAAACAACTGTGCAGAGAACTGTAGTATAATAAAACGAGAAATAAAGCTAACCTGAAAAAATGCCCTTGGAAAATGCAGACATGAAATTTATATTTGCAACTATTTACTTTTTTTTTGCAGTGATTATCGACGAAGCTCCCGGAACTGCTTGCGCATTACGTCGATAGCCCCACCATCGTTTATTACAAATACAAGGAAAATTATGTAACACTGGCAGAAACAGAATATATTATATACAACAAGTATGCTCACCCCCTTTTTTCTTTAATAATGAAGTTTTTCAAAATCTGATTTTTGGAATTTTCAAATATACTCAAAGACCATATTTTCATATTTTTGAGATTTTTTGTGCCACTAAATGAGTGCCTGGTGCGATACGTATCTTTGTTTTTCAAATGAGAATTCTCTTCTGAGCCCATTTTTTTTCTTTAAATTATTTAGTGGATAATTTTTTTGAGAATTATGATGTATCAATGATTGTATCGAAATCAACATTTGAACGAGTGGTTTCCTAGTTGTTGGAAAATTTGTTCTAAGGATAATTAATAGTCCATAATAGGGATATACCTATACAGTTCTACACATGGAAGAAGAAAAATAACTAAAAAAATCAAGAAGTATTTTACTTGCTATTTACCTAAGTGTTTGACTAAATAAATATAAAATGACGTATTATTTTATATTATATGTATAGACTATAGATAACAACGCACACTGTATAAGCATATTCTTCTTCCCCATTATAAACTATATTATATAAAATTATATCAATCTTTCTCATCTCTGATGAGCCGACTTCGCGGGCCGATGTGTGCGTTTTTATTTTCGCGGAAATATACATTATCCCGGAAACTGTTACAAGTGTTTGTTCAAGGTATCTCACTTCATTATTTCAGTGTCGTGGCCATTTCGTTTGATATGTAAAGGTAGTATACAATATACATGACTACCTACACCATACATTCCAGTTATTCCGATATATACCTATGGCATGTGCTATACACATTATTATTTTACAGACATACGGTTCATGGCTACATATCTATAATATATTATAATGCATACACAATAAATAATAATCTTTAAATACAGATGCATAAATCAACAGTGGCGTAACCATAAACTAGGGGTTTTTTGAGTGTTTTTCCCCCCCCCCCCCCTCAATTGTCTTTCCCCCCTAATAAAATGTATTATTATTTAACTACTGAAACTGAGAAAAACTTGGTTTAATTTATACTTAACTCTATAGTATTACAAGAAAAAATTAATTGATAAATTTAAAAAAAAAAATATTTAATGATTGGAATAAATCTGTGGATAATCCCAAAAGTTTGACTTCTTATATTGATTTTTATTATTTTGTAATTTTGATTTAATATGATTAACTGGTGTGAGGTTCTAAACGACGATGCATGATTTTTGATAAATGTGTGTAAATCTTTTTTTTGAAAGTGTGCGGTTACAACGCCGCAGCTTAACTCCCCCTTTCTTAATCATGGCTACTCCATACCATATCAAACGCTGTCACGTGTCACTTGCAGTTTCTTCGGCCTACGCACGAGTTACTAGTAATTTTGAATTCAGTTATGATTTAGATATAGTAGGTACTAAGCTTTTTTGATGTTATTGGCACTTGCATCGCCTATCTGGTTTCAATTATTTGAAACTAAATTATGTAATCCCTAGTTGGCTCCTTTAGTACTTAAATCGGTTATAACTTATAAATTATAATAGTTATGTGGTCCAATTTGATAAATATTCGTGAAGTTATTAACTATGCTAGGTATACTATTAATAATAAACAATTTATTATTATTATTTACTTTTATTTGAAAGTTTTCTAACGGCATATAACTATATAAGTAAAAGTAATATCGTAGTACAACGAAAAGTTAAGCTGTTGGCGAGGTTCCACGTTTCACCAATTGTATTTTGTGTATTGTAAATAATATTACTCATTACCTACAATCAATATTAAGTATACATAATGCTATAAATTATAATAGTGAAAAGTTTCAAGTCCCTACAAATAAAATTGTGCAAATTTATTTTAGATATTTTTTGTTGGTGTAAGTAAAACATATGACTTTGGTTACCTGCTACTTATACCTATTTGTATAACATTTTAATAGCCTTAGCTCTTACAGTCCTACGTCTAGAATTTTAAATGATTAGTTTTTTAGTAACTATCTAATTAACTTTAGGTAGGTATTATATTAAAATTATACATTAGGTACCTAGATTAAATGTTGGGGTTAGTTTATAGTTATAGTTTTTTATGTACATTAATTAAGCTTAGATTAGGTATGTATAAAGGGACGGACTGGCAGTAAATATATTTTTGAAAGCTTGAATCCATATATTTTATTTAAGTAACACGTTTTAGATCAGAGTGGATAGAGATAAGTATAATAATGTACCTATTGATTTTACAATGATATATGTGGGTTTTTTTTGTATCTATCAAAGTATCATCACATTTCGGGGCACTAAAAATGATTTGTTTCTTTTCATCAGCATCTTTTCTGGTAGAAAAGTGAATTTAGTTGGTACTTTGGATGAAAAAAAAATTCTTTGTAGTTTTCAAAAGTGTTATGAAAAACCAAAATAGATTTTTTCATAAGACCAGTTTTTGACAAAATCAATTTTGTTTTTTGGTGCAATTTTAGAAAACTAACCTTAGGTACATAACATTTTCACCGAATGCTTATAGGTATTAGCATTTTCTATACGCCATAAAATGTACAAAATATTTCGACCATTTTAAGCTCTTTATAGGCATAAGAAGAATTCGATTCTTATTAGTTTTTTAAAAAAATTATGTCGATAAATAAATAATAATTTTCGTTCGGCTGAAAAACTTAAAAATTTAAAACATGTTTTCTCATAAGTAGTTATGATACTGTAACTAAAAAATTTAAAATATGTGTAAAAACACAGTTTTCTTATTGATATTTTAAGTTCAAGTTTGGACGAAATTAAATATTTAAACGAAGAATAACGATTTTAGTTATTTCGTTGTGATTTAAAAATATTATTCGCGAGTACTTGAAACTTTTAAAGTATATTATATACACACAATGACATTTTCAAATGCATTGTTTTCGGCAGAAACTAATTAAACTTACTGTATAAATATTATATAATATTAAAATAAATTACTTTAATAGTTTAATAGCAATAATTAAGATCATACAATTTACTTAGTAATATTTGCTGACAGACAGTCTTCCATCAGAATCGTTTTTCGTAAGGGTAGAATGATTATATATAATTGAATTCAAATTTAACACATCCATTACAGGACCCTTTTGGGCACCTACTGTACAACAGTGTAGTACCCTGCGGCCTGCACTATAGCCCCCCTTTTTAAAGTTGCACTGCAGTACTACACATTAGAATTCTCATACTGTTCACTAAAATACAAGTGCTGCTAAGTTTTAGCAAAAATATTATTTTCTTGATACGTTTAGGCAAATGTCAGTAATATTTCCCAATGAACTGTGCTAACGGATCTGTTTAGGGCTACCCTTAAAACTATTCAATTTAATATTTACGTAACACTAATAGTTATACTAACTCACCGGTAATATTGGGTAAATGTGGTTGTTTGGTCAACCATTCCATGAGCTGAGTGACATCTTCTTCGAGTTTGTTTAACGGTTGATAGAAATCTTCATTCTTTATGTATGCGATTTGAGTCTCATTCGGTGGTATGAGGTACATATTGTATAAGAATGTATTATAATAAGTACAATCTACGTTTCTTTTAATTGCTTAAGTAGCAGTCAGCAGATCAAAGAGCGTTAAGTCAAAAACTGAGGCTAAGAGAAGTGTGTACGTTTTAAAAACATTCACTTATACGTTATATTATATATACCTACAGTCTACGTGGTCGTATAGACCCACCAACCTTCTCAACGATTCTGGTTTTATTTTTCTGCCATTAAATTAGGTAGGTACGATACCTGTTATTGTCAATCTATATAAAAAGCCAAGATTGACTGTCACAAGAGAGGGGCACATATGTTCATTGTTTGTACATCATAATATTAATGGTACACGTTCGAGTGGTAAAAAATGAGGGGGGGGGCGTAATAATTTTGACCGAAAAATTAACATTTAATTTTTGCTATTGCCTTCTTAAACATTGAGATTGAGAGCAATGAGAGCATTTTCTATGAAACAAGAAAATGGTTAATGGTTATTAGATCAGAGGTCTTCATCCTGTCACCCACCTTGTCTTAACTTAAGTTGCTGGTATGCTTTTATGCTAATATGTGTTATTGTATAATAAATATTGTCTATTTCTAGAACTTTTGTTCTTTATTTAAGATATATTTAAAATGGATACATATGTGGATGTACTGTATTGTATAAATGTTTATAACAACTAAGTACCTACCTAGGTAACATTTCAAAAATATTGTTCGTTATCAATCGACAGTCATATTAAGAAGTAAGAACAGCCTATTATGTAAAAAATATAGGATAGGTCATAGGTAATTTATTTAATAACAACAATTCCAAGTATTTTAAATTGAAAGTCTGAAAAAGGTAACTATACTTGAAGAAAAGTTTATCCTATCCTAACCCATTTAAATTCTACTTACATACTCGTTTATGAATAGTATTTAATATTTAAACAGTATGTGCCTATTTGAAGACCAATATTCAAATATCTATAATTGGTATTAACAAGGTAGATAGTAAATACCTAACCAAGTAAATATTTCACAAGACGTATTCTACATTTATATCAACAAATATATTAGTTTGAAAATATTTTGATTAGATACCTGAAAACAATATTTTACTGATACATTTATTATAATATGATACATCATAAATAGTTAGAAATTAATGTGCAAAGTTGACTGAAAACTATTTGCTTATCTAACTATTAATTATTAAAATATACATAGTTGCATAGGCTACATAGATACATCATACATACATTTAATATTTATTAATATAGTGCGTGCATGCGGTCATGTAGTGAACTAAATACTTATACGTAGGTAGGTAGGTAAGCGAAGAACGAATTCAATAATGAATAGTGAATACATTTTACATTTTTAACGATTACCTATATAATAGTTTGCACATCAGTAGAAAATGTAAATTAATTGATAGCTTACATTTGTATTGTTCTTTTTTCCAAATAAGAAACATTATTTCACAATCAATTATTTAGCTTATTGTGATTTTTTTGATAATTTATCTAACTTATTCAAATTCGTAGTTTCTGAGTTATAAAAATGTATCTACCTATACATGAATTATTTAAGTTCTCAAAATGGTTTTAAAAAAATATAAAATATAATAATATATAGATGTAAAATTGTATCTAGTGCTTATTGTATCTGTAATCTGTTTAATATATTATACTCAGATAATTTTCACAAATTATAAAAGTATTTTTAAATAATCCCCCCTCCCCCATACCTTCCAAATCCATTAACCTTTACCTATAGTTTGTTACCTACATACAATTATAAAAACAACCACACACTCATGATTTCGACTTAAGGTAATAAATAGTCGTTTTTCAGCCCATTGCAATTGGGCTGATTTTAAAATCTGTCAGCGGAAAATCGCAAATGCCCATTTTGCCACGATTGAAATATGAGGTGTCTAAAATTCTTAATCGTAAGTATTACTTAATATTTAATACTTGAGTAGGTACCTAATTATATTATTATTATTACATATTTACTTAATATTGAAATTAATGAATAATTATGCAGGTATTAATATTTTATGAAATGTTATTAATGTCCACACTGTTCGAATGTTCGATACAATTATTGATAAAACAAGCAGTGGCCAGTGGATAATCAATGATAACCACATACTATGTGGGTACAACTGGGTACTTCGTACCTAATATTATTAAATAATATTGTTGTTTAAACATTTTTTCGTTTTTGTTCATATTGTTTTGTTACTGTTATTTCAATTTGTTGTATTTTGCTGTTTGTGTAAATTATATTATTTAAAGTACATTATAATTTATATATTACCTAGGTATTATAATATATTGCCTTTTTGCATGCCGATTGACTGATTTAGTTTAAGAAATATGTTGGTGTTTAATTGTAATTAAGATAATCCCGCCCGACTTGCTGTTTAGGTAAGAAATATAATTATGTTACAATTAGTCTTTGCTTTTGTTTTTGTTATTACTTATTTTATTTTGTCAACAAGGTGGCTGAAGTGGTTGAAGGTTATTTTTTACTGATATATTGTTCAATTATTAATCATTAATGTGATACAAACTGTTTTAATTAGTTTCACAAAGTATTGTTAAAAGAGAAAAACACAATATTGATCATATTATGATACCATAAATGTATTCTGAACCATAATTCTTATAGATCTGTGTGTAGTGCAAACGGTGTAGCTTATATCGTTAATTTCTTACATATAATGAACGTTATAATGTTTGTTAAATGCTCCTCTAAGTTTTTTTCTTTTTATTGACAGTTTTATAATAATTTAGTTGGCTGGAAAAAATATTTAGGTCCATAAAAACTTTTATATTTAATTGTACATTCATCTAACTAGGTAGGTAGTAGATTATAATATATTGTAATAAACCTCTTTATTTATTGTATTCATTATTAATATGTTTTTGCTCTTATTGTATTTAACAAATATTTATTATTAAGTACCTACTATCATATTTAATAACTTCAATTAGAAACACAAATAATTTAAAAAACACTTTGAAATTTAAATTATAGGCAATAGTTAGTTAATTGTACAATAACTATACATTAGGATGTAGAAATGATAGGTATTTGAACTAAAAACAAATTTAAAAAACTGTTCTATTTTAACCTTTACCTACAAAAAATGACTATATCGGATTATATATACCTTTTACTATTATATTATGGTAAATCATAAGATTGCTTAAGTTTTGTTGTTTTATAATTACATCATTTTAAACAAGTATTTGTTTTTAAGGGTAAGTGATAAACTATTTTCTATTAAAATTAACCTTCAATAATCATAACTTACATTGTTTAAAAACATACAAATTACTTCTCTAGAACTTCCCTTGATATGAATAGGTAGTAAAACACTTATTGGTGAAAATTTTGGCCTTATATAAATAGTTCCTTGCATTATACATTTTATAGTATCTCAATACCTATGTACCCACGTAGTTGTATTGATATCAATAGGATAGGTAAGAATAAACTAATAAATAACTTGGTAGGTGCTACTGAGTACTGTTAAAGGTGTTCTAGTTTTCTAGATGTTTGATTTGAATGTCAATATAACAAGTAAACAACTATGAACTCATAAATAATTTTATTTAATGATACCGAAACAAAAGGGTTGAAACAGAAATTTTCCTTGTATTTGTATTGATTTTTAGGTTTCAATAAATGTCTAACTTACTTAACAACTGTTTCAGATATGAATAAAAGAAGTTTACTTCTAATTGTATTTATTTTCTACATTTATGTAACAATAATTCAATGTAATGAATTACCACCATGTTACAACCAGCCTGCAGAATCTTGCCCATTACAAAATAAATGTAAATGTGTGAAAACTGGTGATTCGGCATTATTTTGCTGCCAAGTTCAGTCGAATGAAGATTTGATAAAAAACTTTGAGTGTTCAGGTAGGTAAATTATTACGGCACATACAATTTTTAATGCACTTTGATTCAAAATTAATTTGCTTTGTAATAAATTAACACTATTCACTTGGGTTGTTTTGTATTATTTATTTAAGATTATAGTGGAAAAAATCTAAATATTCAGTGTTGAGGATTAAATTATTAAAATATCTGAATTTTAAATTTAATTTTAATACCTATCATCAGACCTGTTTGGTCCTATGGTATCCAGATTTGGGGCTCTGCCAAACCCTCCAATACGAGAAAAATTTGGTCATTCCAGTCTGAGGCAAATTGTCTCTGCTCCATGGTTCATCACAAATAATAATCTCCACAAAGATCTAAATATTCCGTTGCTCTCACAACTAACAAAGTCCCGCTACGTTTCCTTTCACTCCAAGTTAATCCAACACAACAATCCATTAATTAAATGCCTATCTTCTCTAACAATCCCCAATAACCCCCAGAGATGTCTTAAAAGCTACTGGCTTAGAGATCTTCTAATCTAATCTGTTGGGTGGCACTACTGAGTACCCTCCCCCATCTGTCAATATCGCTATGTAAATATTATCAAAATTATTTATTGTACTAAATTTTTGTATAGATTGTAATTATATTTTAAAATAAAAAAAAATTTTTTAGACAATGTGCCATTTGTGATATACCTTCCACAATGTTTGACTCATTTGACATCAATGTTTAGTTAATGCAAATGCTTTTCTCCCTTGTTAAATTCATATTATAAATGCATAATGATTATCTTAATGCAAGGCAATCTTAATATTTATATGTATACATAAAAAAAAGTCACTGTATTGTATTAAATCTGTTTAGTATATTGCATAGCATAGATATTTATTTATTTTAAAATATTTTAGGTGCTAAGTTATCAACAATCACAGCCTTACACATTTACAATATGACAGCTGACAATTTTAATTTTGGAAAATTTTCACCAGAATTAAGCCGTTTGATCTCATTTTCAATTACAAATAGTTATATTAATCGACTACTTGGTCGTTTAGAGTACATGCATCAAATCACTTGCTTAAATTTATCAAATAATGCTTTTGGTACAGAATGGCAAGATCCTCTAGCATTGGAAAATCTTAAAATGTTAGCTATGTTAGATTTTTCCAATGTAAATATATCAAGTTTACCTACCATAAAAAGTCAAGTGCCAATGTTTTGGCTGGATGTTTCAAGTAATTAAACACATTGAATTCATATGAAAACTAAAACTATTTTCTAATTATTTATTTGTCAAATATTTTTAGATAACATAAAGATTCACTGTGCAAGTCTTCTAGATCTTATGGAAAGATCAAGAAATGCCAAGTACAAGTTGTACTTTAAAAAATATAATGAAACATTTTGTATGTCATCACTGTCATTTCATTGGTTCAACTCTACTGAAAAGGTTGCGTTAAATCAAGTGGAAATAATTAACAAGGTAACGTTAGGTCTTAAACTATTATTTAATTGAAAACATAATTTATTTATTTTTTATGGGCCAGAATCTCAATATAATTCACAAGAAATTTTAAATCTAGTGAAATGGTCAACTTTTATAATTTGTTGTTTAATTTTGATATAATACAGCTGTAATAGAAATAAAGTTACAGTATACTCGTACAAGCACTGAATAAAAATTATAACATTATAAGTTGCTTATTTTGGAGATATTGTAGAATTATACTGAGAAGAAGAATTTGAAATTGTCAACAATAGTCTTGATAAATACTAGACAGACTATCTTGATTTTATATTTTTAAAATCTATTTAATTTCTGTTAATAATTTAGCTATATGAAGACTGTCCATGGAATTGTAGTTGTAAATGGCATGGCATAGAAATGGTACAAGAAACAAAGACATTGCATACCGTAGAAGTAGATTGTTCAAATAAGCAACTATCAAGTTTACCAGAAAACCTGCCAGAGAACACTGTGTTATTAAATGTCACTAATAATAATGTAAGAAATTGCAACTATTTAAAATTTAAACATTATATTTTTAAACATTACCGTTTTATAGATCACCAATATAGATGTATTGGTAACAGATCAAACTTACAAAACTTTGAGATTTTTCTATGCTGATGAAAATAAAATATCTAACCTCTTGTCATTGGAAGGTTCGACTTTTATAGAAAACTATGCTGTTTTGAGTTTGAAACTAAATCAATTGAAGACAGTAAGTATAGTTTCATTATAATAATTATTATTTATAAATAACTTACTGATTTTAGATTTTGAGTGATGAATTTGTTGGTTATACAATGTGTGTTATTTTTTCTATCTAACATCAGAAGCAATAAAAATGCTTCAATTTATTTTAAAGAGTGGTTTCTGGTAGCAAATTACATCTAGTTGATACTTTTTACTCTGTCAAAAATCGAGAAAAATTTCCTTAGTTCTTATAGAATTCTTAATGTATTTCAATATATCAGCACAATTTTTTATAGAAATTTTAAGTTCAATATTTTAATTATATAAATATAACAAATAAAGAACAATCATTGCTTCTATTTTTTTTAGTTATTTTGCTGTAGTTCAAAAGTCATTAATCGTAAAAACTTGAAATTTTTTCAACAGTATATATTATTATTTTCCATTCACAATGAAATTTTCAAAGTATTAAATCTATCTTTAAGTTATTTATGCTGTTATACTTAGCTACAGTATATACTTATAAGATAACAATAATGTTTGATAAAATAAAATAATGTAATAATTATTTTTAAATATACAATATGCTATGTTATTGAAAAAAAACTAGTTCAACCTACCATTTTACTTATAGTAATATAAATAAATTATAAAATATTCTTAAATGCAGAGACTAACACTCCGGTTAGAATTGTTTTTTTTTATTATTTGATGTTTATCATTAAATTGAAATATTGATCAAATTCATTACTGTGACCTACTCAATGTAAAGGTATACTTCGAACCTACTATTAGCTGAGCGACTACTACAGTTTTTTTTTTGCTATCCAAGTATCTACATAATTAAGTAGATATATAGTCATTGTCTATTATTATTTTTTTAGTTGCCTATGTATATACTTCAAAATTCCTTTACTAGATTTGAGGGACATATTGTGAACTTGGGTGGAAATGAACTTCAATGTGACTGCAGTACTGCAAAATCGTTAAAGGTATGTAATAATGTATAAAACAATTTGAACTGCAATTTGTCGTGATGATGATGATAATTATTTAAATAAAAATGTAACATATTATTTAGATTTCATTATTAGCTTATTTTTTCATTGTTCAAGATATTTTATTACAATATTGTATAAATAATATTGTCGTAAGTTCTGTTTGTAACTTATAGTTTTTAAATATAATAGTCAGCTCACAATTTTTACCCGTATTATGGTGGTAAAATTATTTTAATTGTATATTTATTAAAAAATAATATGTAGTTTATCTTCTAAATGATAATTAATGGTATTCACTATTTAATTTAATATAGGTAATTTATTTGATATTAAAATACTAAATTCCTACTTTCAAATAAGTTTATTTTTAATTTGTAATTTTATTAAGTAGCCAGTTGGTACTGGCCATGTAAATACAGTATTATATTATCATTCAATTTTCTTCTTTATTATAAATGTTATGAAAGAATAGCTTATTAATTAAATATTTTTTATTTTCAGATATGGTTGTTAACAAATCATATTCATATTCCAGATTACAATGAAATTTTATGCAGTAATATGCAGTACAAAGTCAAAGTAAATCCATTTTCAAATTATTATTATAAATGTCTAGTGTTCCAATTAATTTTACTTTATTAACATGAGAACCATAGTCGGGCTACTGAGAGAGCACTTCTGGGCAAACTCGTCTGATCTCGCTCATTCCCATCACTAAACCTCCGGGCTTGGTGGTAGAGTGGAAGAGAAAACCGTTGAGCTCAATCATTTGTATGTGCGAAAGAGTAGTGCTCTCTCAGTGGCCTGAGTATATAAATTATTGTTTATTGGGAAGTGTTTAATTTATAGGCGTGTCCATACTTAGTAGATAGCATAGTAATTACTAATTATACATGAAAAGTTGTTATTTTGACTTTTCCCTTCTCAAAGAAAGTGGATAAGTTGTTTTATATTCTGTGTATTTGTCAATAAATTAATATAAAAAAAATTTAAAAACCATACATTTTGGCTTATCAAAGATTTTTATAACGGCTTGTAGGAATCCATGTTGATAGACATAACTGCTATAGCATTTGCCAACTAAACTATCCATTTTTGCAGTATGAAAGTTCCAATGTTAAAATGTTCATGATCAAATGTTATACCAGTCGTGCAGAAGGTAAAACTTTAAAATCGTGTATGCTGTAGCATATACTGTCTATCAATGTGTTAATAATTTTTGAAGTATTGAAAATTTGTTTTTATCAAAGTTCATTAGTAGTCAGCAAAATTTATTTTTAAGAAAATAATCAAGAATATACATGATATTTCTATACGACTCATAGACACGCCTATGGTGTAATGTAATTTTTGGTTTCTCAGATTGTTTTAATAGCTATACCAGAATATCATTTCAATTAGTTAATAATTGTATTGGTAATTCATAGGTAATAGATTTGGATCAAAAATTAGTGTGCATTAAAAAAGCTGATTGGACACACTATATGTATTACGTGATTGCTGCTGAATTGTCAGTACTTTTGCTGTTAATTGGAAAAGTTTCATATGATTATTGGGTATTCAAAACAGCTGGATATTTGCCATGGCCTGCTTCCAAAATGCCAAAGCTGCCTTGTGACTGGATATTTGAGTAATGAAGTGTTGCTTCATGGGCTTAAAAGAAATATTGTAATAAAAGTTAGTTATCTATAAGAAGACTGTTTTATTATGAGCTATTAATTACATATACAAACGCTACATATGCTAACAATAAGTTACCTTAGTGCCTTAAACATTGTGCCTTGATATATTATTTATTATATAAGATTATTATATATTTATACATTTTAATTACTTTTCGAGAAGTTTTTCGAACAAAAATTATTTTTAATTTTTATTATTATTTACTAAGCTTTAATATGGTTGATCAAATCAAAATGTTCAAACAGACTTACCAAAATTGTAAGTTTTTTAAATTACTTAAACAAGTTCAGATCTTATTTTATATTTATGTACACAGTGGAGTTCACACCAAAGATATTAATAAATTAGCAGATTGATAAAATCCTCTGTTAATCGTAACTTAAAAATCTCTTCAGTGGACTACCGTGTGTTATATATTTTATGTTAAATGTTTACATGTAATTTGATATATTTTTATTTACAGGCTGTGATTGCATTATTGATTAATAGATTCTTTTTGTTTGTTTTATATATTTTATTGTAACCGTATTTTTATTGATAAAAGTTGAGTTGTAACTAAGTAGATACCTTTAAATATTAAATTATTATTAAAGTTATTAATTATTATAAGGTACTACCTATGTCTTAATAGTCTTATGTATAACGACATTTTAATGCGTGAAATAAAAACTAAAAATATGTTATGCTTTAAATATTGTTATTTAGTACTTTTGTCATTATTTATTACTATTATACACGGTTTCCGCTTTTATATACCTATTACCTAATTTGCGTGATGTATATCAGATTAGGTACCTATTTTGTAAGCAAGTAATGAAATATTTAAATGTCGTGTAAATTAATTGTGATAAACTAATTAAAACTTGTAGTGTTTTAGAACACGTGCGACGTACCTACCTTGAGTAAACGAACAAGCACAATAATATTATGATTCATGAGTTTGACTGATGAGCGTATGTAGTGAGGTACAACAAGCTTTGCCGTCGCGGTCGGCGGAACACTGAGCAATTCAACGTACCCATGTATTACAACTTAAAATAGTGTATTTCTCTGTATCTTCTGTGTGACCAATGGTCTTCGAGTACCTACTCAAGTAGTAAAATATCAGTATTTAGCCTGATCCATGGAGCACTGGATTTATAAAACAGACTATATTTTGGAGCATTTGAAATTCAAATTGCATAACATTAATGTGAAACAGGTTATTTTTTAATTTTATAGTTGCTTTAGCGTAATGATATTAGAATTAATACCTCAGGTAACAATTTTTAGTTATTTTTTATATCTGTAACTTGTAAGCTTTAACTATTACAATATTATTTTGTACATCGGTAATTAGAGTATATTTTTTTTGCTGATGGTAATCGGTTATTTATGCTTAAAAATAATATCAATTATTGTCGATCTACAGATAAAAGTAGATACCTACGAAATATATGACAAAAATCGAAATAGAACTAGACGTCGAGATAAACTGTGAATGTCGAAGCAGAGGCGTGTATTATGGTAGATGTGATGCATGACGTGTGATGTGTACCGGCTCGTAAAATACAGTTAGGACGTGTTTAAAGAGATTTAGGCAAAGATACGGGTTTAAGGTTAAAAGATATCTTTATTACTACGAATTACTAAACTCTTACAATTAATTTTTTCGACTCAATACATAGATTTTCTGTATAACAAATGAGGTTCTGCCTGATTGCGTCTAACTTAACGACTACTCGGGCGGCCGTGACCAAGGGGCCTCTGTACAACGGCCAGGGTGGGAAATGGGAATTGCTGCATCAGCAGATTCCTGCTGGAGCGTTCGGTCCCGTAGTCACATACGCCAGTATCTATACATCATATAACTGTAATATAACACTATATGCTAAACTTACATAATATAACACGTGCTATTAAACATCATGGTCGGACTTTTTAAAAACTTCTTTCAAATTTGTAGGTATTTTGTACTTACCTAAATCTCAAGTTAGTAATTAGGTAGCCTAACCTAACCTAACCTATAAGAAGTTGTTATTTATAGTAGTAATAAGGTTTATAGGTGGTAGTCATTTTAGTACCTATTTTACCAATCCCATCTACTACCCACTGGGTACCTAGTCCAGGAGTAGGTACCTACCTATCATGCCAAGCATATTTAAAAAAAAATAATTTCCACATCATTATCATAACACTTACAATATATTGTTTGAATTAATCCAAATCATTTTTATTTTAAAATTTAAAATTTATCTTGTAAAGGGTAGTTTTTGTGTTTAAAATCACAGGTTTCTCACAATTAGGTACTCAATCTATAAACCGTTTTAACTTAACGTAAGACTGGCCGTCATCAACTTTTGGGGCAGTCAAAATGCTCCAATTTTCTACATCAGCATATTTTATGGTAGGAAAGTAAACAAAAGAAGGAAATAACAAAAAAAAAAAATGGGAATATTTATGTAAAATCAGTTATTTTGGTGTAATTCAAAAACGAATAATCTCAGATACTCCGGAACAATTTTCACATATACAATGACAATAATACTTTCAAAACATTTTAACTATTTTTGAGCTATTTAGGTATTTGGCCATGAGAAATTTTTGATTTTTTTCAATTGTTATCAATCTATAATTCTTATAATGCCTAACTTGAAAATATAATACAAGGTTCCACATAAGTTGTTTTATGTTTATAGTTTATTTAAAAAAAAAGTTAAGCTTAAATCTACAATAATTTTTATGATTGTTTAATGTTAAAATTTCGATGAAGTTTGACAAAATCACGAAAATTTGAAAATTTAATATAACATTTCTCATAAGTTTTCTATCTTTAACCAAAAAAAAAAAACGGTTTATAAGACAGTAAAACTCATTTATATGAACTTTTGAACTAAAAATGTTTACGATATTAGATAAGTTAGTAAGGTTATCCTCAAATTAAACGAATTCTCATCAAACTATTTTTGATATTTTGTTGTGATTCAAAAACCAATACCAAATCATAGACATTTTAAAATTTCACCAAATGTTTATATAAATTTATGATCTAACCAAACCTAGGTATGATAAAATAAAATTTTAAATTCAAAGTTTGACAAAATTCATCAAAATGACGAAAGTTTGCAAATTATTATTTATATAATTTATAAATATTAAATTATTTTAACTAAGATTTCAAACTTTAAAAAAGTTTCTCATTATAGTATTTCAATAGTAGGTTTAACTAAAAAATCTAAAAATGATATAAACACAATATTTTTTAATGGCCATTTGAAGTCCAAAATTTGGACGAAATTGGATATTCAAACGGAGAATAATGATTTTAGTTAATTTTTTGTTATTTTAAAATATTATTACACCTAATATAGGTAGGGTATAATTGACCGTCATCGTTTCGAAACGTCCCCCCTTTTTTTTTCTGAAAGGTTGTGCCTCCCCTATAATTTAAGTCTCCAAAGTCCAGGAGGACGCTTAACAATAAATTTATTGTACATTTATACTGTGTTTATTTTAATAATTTACATGCTCTTACGCTCGGCGATTAATCGCCGAATTTAAACGTTATAATAACTCGAATAATATCCAAGTTTCTGAAGATAGAGAAGCGTACGATTATTATTCGCCTATGTATTAATAATATTTATTAAAATTCTAAACATAATACTGTTCATATTGATCATATTTATAATACGCGTTATAAAACTAATATTAATCTATATGTTCCTCTATACCATAAACAGTTTGGCATTAAAAGTGCTATTTCAATTGCAATCAGATTATGTAGAATACTTTAAATAAATATATGTAATTTTAAAAATGTAAAAGATTTGAAATTGTACTTAAAAAATGTTGATCTTACACAAAAAGATTTATGATTATCGATAAATAACATATGATGTAATTTTGAAAATTTTGTTTAAGAAATATGTATGTAAATTGTCAATAATTGAACTCAATTAAAACTCCCCATCACAAGCTATACTTATAGTGGAGTTGCAAATATTATTATGTAGTATCTAGTGTACTGTCTGGAGTGTAGCCAAATTCAGGGACTTTATATCTTAGTTACCCGGTTGCTCATGTAAATAACCTGATAACATGTACGTCGGATACTTGGATAAACACACGAACAAAGGTAAATGAAAGAAAATAAATTATGAAGGTTTATACTTTGTGAGTTTCTTAAAACAGTTTGGTTAAATATAGACTTTGGAAGAAGAACTCTGGATCTAACTCCCAATTTTTGGTAACTTTAGTCCCCCTCAAAATATTTGCCACTTTAACCACTCACTGAGTAGTGAGTATATGTGTACGAGCACACGTAGACGTATATAACGCATATCTTGGTGATCGTTAATGATCGGTGGCATAAAAATAGCAATTATTAATTCACATACTGAATATTTACCTAACTATGAAGATTGGAGACTTTCAGTAGCGAGGTGTGAAGTTTTTGGTTGGGGAGACAATGAAAATAATAAGCTAATACCTCTGGAATCCCCCTTTTTTATTTTATCTATACAATAAGAAATGTTATGAAATGTTTGAATATTCAAAAACTAAAAACTAAATGAAATATTATATCTAAAACATTACAACTTCCTTAAAATAATAATTTGATATAATGACAAATGTAACAAAATAAAGTGTAATAATATAATATACTGTATACATGCAACTCACATTAAGATGACTTTTACAGTTTTACAAAATAAATTTACGTTAAATCTAGTTAAATCTTATTTTTTAATTCAAATTTTTTGTCGTAAGAGTAGTTAAAATGTTCATCGTTCAAAATGGTTAAGTTATCAGCCATGAGGACAAATTACAAATTGCAATTTAAAAACAATAAATATTCAGAAACACGTACGATGTACCTATCATGACGTGACTACGCAACGGTGATAACAATAATAATAATTGAGGACCGAAGTATCATCCATCGCCCATCAGGTATTATTACGGACGGCGAGACGTGTCTCATAGCGTCACACAGTGCTAAATTTTATAGATTAAGTGACCTACCTGCTGTACGCTGACTCAAGCGTGGACGTCTTCACGACCCGCTGTTATAACTATATTTATTTAATTTATTTACAATTTTAATTTTCTTCCAATTTGTAAATAATTTAAAACGCAGCTGTTATTATTAATATTATTACTAATTACTAATTGTTATCTATTTTCATAAGTAAAAAAATGTTCTTATCAACAATAAGTTAGGTTAGGCTAAAAAAAACCTACCATATTTAGAATTTAGAATTTATAACTGATTTGTTGTTAAACGTTTTTATTACTATTATTTGTTTTTTTTTTAAACTCAAGTCTATAAAAAAATTTTCGCTCCGTCAAAAAACTTTTAAATGTAATACAAGGTTTCTAGTAAGTTTTTGTTAATGGAAATTAAAAAAAAAGTTCATCGTAAATCCATAATAATTTTTTATGGGCGTTTAAACCTAGAATTTTGACAAAATTCGTAAAAATCACGAAAATTAGCATATTATATTTAGTTAGAAATTCATAAATTGTTTTCTTTTTATATCTAAGATTTAAAAATTCAAGACAAGATTCCTAATAAATCTGTCTACCTTTATCAAAAAAAAATTTCTACCGGAAGGTCAAATTTAATTTTTATGAGCGTTTGGATTTAAAATTGTTTCAACATTAGATATTCAATCGATTTATCGAGTAGCCAAAATGCTAAAGTCATAGTTTCAGGAGCAATGTACAATAAATATCCATACAATTTTTTGATGGTTACTTGAGATATATCAGAATCTGGATATTGAACTAAGCTTTTTAATAAGTTATAATCGTTTAAAGGAGCTTCAATGGCAAATGGAGCTCTAAACCACGTTTTTAAGTAAATATTTATTAAAACAATGTAGATGTCATGAAAAGCATTTCTTTCTTTTGCCTGACACTGAAACTGATTTTGAAAAATAAATATTTTAATACTGTAAATCGCTTTTGACATCCACCTTGGGTGATGAAAGGCATCGGGGTAACGAAATGTTATTCCACGAGGTGCTGTTGCGCCAAGAAATATAACTGTTAGCTCTAATAGTTCCCTATAGTCTTCCCTACATTGCCTCTCTTTTAATTCTTTATTACAAAATTCTATTATTAGGTTTTTTTTATTTTCTACCGATGATTTCACAACTGTATCGTTTAATCCAATAAAATAATTGTGTGCATTAAAAGTTGGCCATTGTTGTTGAAACCTTTTAAAAATTGGTACATCAGGACCTGAAGTAGGCAATTTAAGTTTTAAATCTAATGCACTTTTTAGTAGAAGCTCAAAAATATGATGACGGCATGGCAGATATAATAGATCACGCTCAATAAACTGCTCCAATAAAACACAAGTTCCATTAATACGGCCAGTATTTGATACTGTAGTATCACAACAAACAGCTTGAACTTTATCAATAATACCCCATTCTTCCAACGATTCAAAAATAACTTTTGCTTGGTCCACACCAGTCCCATTTAAAATCTTTGGTACACCTAGCAACTGTGTAATTTCCTCGAATGATATTACAATTGGTAATCGATCAACTTTCACTTTTTCGCATAGATCGGGAAGTAATTTTCCATCCCAATGTTAGACTACGTTATCTAATTTTAAGTTCCTTTGCTTTTGCTTCACGGAATATCGTGCTTTTACGTTGTAATGTAGTTCTATTTATTTTAAGTTTAGATATATCCTGACCTAAAGCCTCAAAAGTTGAAATTATAATATGTATTGCGTCACGATCACTAATTTTACACTTGTCTAACGCAGAGAGTAATTTAGGAGTCATTATTTCAATTGTGCCCCTTTTTTTATATCTGTACCAGTACTTGACTCACCAAACTGAATATTTTCTTCTAAAGTGGGTGTACCTTCCTCGCTTGAACAACTTATGTTTAGAGATTCCAATCCCTCAAATTGATCTAATAAATAAATTACAATTAAAATATATTTTTAAAAAGATATTAGATACAATTGAATTTTTTTAATATTTTATTTACTTACCTATACATAATTCATCGATTTCTGAGTGTTCTCTCTTTTTTTGTTGTTCTATATTTTTTAACTTTTGAGTTAATTTTTTTTCTTTATCAGCCAATTTATAATCAGTTCTCAACATACAACCCGGTCTCCCTTTTAGTCGTTGTAGTGGGTAACATAACGTAAATTTATAGATTAAAAAAGAACCTACCTAATTTCTTACAATACTACTTTAAGGTTTATTTATCTGCAATTTTAACTTTATCAAACATTACAAAAAAAAAAAAAATAATAGTAAATGGGTAAATTTTCTGAAATATAAATATCAACTTATTCCGTAGTTGCATATAAAATATAAACCACCAGTATAAAACTATTGAATAAACATTTATAACATTTAAGACAATTTTAATTTTCTTAAGTTCACCCAACTTTTACAATAAAACAGTTAAGCCAATTCAATTCATAATTCTTAACTTTTCTTTAGAAAATTGAATTAAGTATCACTTTTATAAAAGATATTATGTCATATCATCAACTGTTATTCTAATATACTTTAAAAACCGTAAAAAGGTTAATTTTTTTTAATAAATGAAATATTTGTTATTTTATTATTTTACTTAGAAAATAATAGATTTATGAAAAATTATATGAATTTGTTTTTTTTTCGAGAAAAAAGCCTTGATAACGTGACCATTGGCTTGTTTTTACATATAATGATAATTTAAATTAGATTGTACAGTTCAGTATCTTTCAAAAATAAAATTATATTTTGGATGGATTTTTCGTCAGGAGTGCGCCAGTGCGTCGTGAAGGTGTTCCGGTATGTTGAATTTTTGTCGTGCCTCTTTTGTGTCTCTGCATTCGGTGGTATTTGTTTTTTATTCAAAATAAAAAGAACTATAATTTAGGTTATGTACATTTTTACAATAAGTTCAATAATTATTGAATTACACTCAAAAAACGACATATCAACCCTATTTTGCAATTTTCCACCATCTTGTGGCACGTGAAGTTGTTGAATAATCATGACCAAATTTAACACAAATTACTTTCTTATAGTAATGAACAATATGTGGGGGGGGGGGGGGGTGAGAAATTAAAAATATTAATATTTTTTTTCTCCATCTATAACTAAGGGTCACCCTAATAGGTATATTTAATATTTTTCAGCATCACTGATAATTTAAGAATAATATTATGAATAATATTAATTCAACTTGCCGGCTACCGTATCAATAATAAGTAATAACAATATAATTTTATCCTAGACGACATATCGTCTCCGCTCAGAATCATTTTTCGTATACAATGATATGATATGATTGAATTCAAATTTAATACCATTTATTACAGCGTCCTTATCTAGACACCTAATGTACAGCAGAGAGACATCCAGTTACTTGGCTTTTTTAACTTTTGACCCCCCCCCCTCTTCCCAAAATACCAACTAGATTCAAATAAATTTCCTATCAGTTCTATACTTCTATAATAATATTATGATATAAACTTTTTTTTCATTCATACGAGTATTGTGTAATAGGGGTGTTACTGGGTTACAACTTAGATATAGCAGTTATCGTTTAGCAGTAGATACAGTGTACACCTATATACCTTCTAGAAATCTCCTAGAATCTTCTATCCGTATAATGTAAAATTAAGTATGTACCTATAATATGTATATATTCTGTTCGACCGGACGTCATCAAACTTATTTAATGAGGCCTATATACAATTTTTCGAAAATTCTTCTTAGTCGATTTATTTTTATCTTAATACGCAATGTTTGATTTTGTAGTTTGCACGTTCCAACGTAGTGTCTATCAACACCCAATTAATCCTGCAGCGATTTCAATGTTGAAACCGATATTTTTTTCGATTTCATAAGAAGAATACCTATGCTTCTCGATGTCATATATTTCGCACATAGTGAGTGCCGCGCGTGTCTCAGTCGAACTACTGTCAATTGGCACGAATAATCTACATCAGGGTTTACCTAACTGAATAGTCCGTACATATACCGAAAGGGGTAAGCAAATTATTATTATTTATTATTGTTAGGTTGGGTTGTATTTATTATGGGTCCGCAATCATTTTCATTTTACTCTAAGGGGTTCGGTGAAGGAAAAGTTTGGAAAAGGCTGATCTACATTAAAATCACAAGGGTTATCCGACAACGGCGAACACCCTATAGCGTTTGCGCAACGAGTTTTATAGCAGTATAATATACAGTTAATATTATAATGATGACTATGAATTATGATAATGATAATTCGCCGTTGTTATCGTTTATTATTATCTGGAGTACCTACTTCGTTGTCGCCATTTTACAATTTTACAATAGTAGGTACCTATCTCTCGAGTAAATACACGGCCTGTATCATCTGGTAAACAGCCATGGTCGAGTGTTGTATTATTGTATGTAAGTATGTATGTATGTATGTATGTATGTATGCATGCATGTATGTATTTATGTATATATGTATTTGCGTGAGTGGTGTGTGTGTGTGTGTGTATTCCAATAACAGCTAGTATTATAAAAATAATAGTTCGTGACTATACGAGATTTGTAAACGAGACTTAACGATATAGACGATTAACGTGGACATATTAAATTCGAATCCTTGTTAGTCATTGTTATAATATCTACATTATTTTATACATATACTACTGTAACACTACTAAATAGGAGTTATCATAATATACCTATTTTACTTCATATGTACATTATACACACTACACAGACACTCGCGCGCTTGTTGGTTTCAATCCTGTCATCTTCTATATTGTTCCGTTCGCGAGCGCACAAAAGTACATATTATACGCGTTATTAGTTTATTACGGTTACAATGGTAAGTATATCCACATAGTTTATGATTACTATTTTTCCCCGACATGTATCGCTGTTAGATTCCCAAGAGCATTCTTTTCATACGTGAATATTCTGTTTATATCTGCATACGAGCTGTTGACTATGTACAATGTATAATGTAACCAGTGCATAATATATAATAATATCCACCTATCTAATTCTAGGCGGCCAGTGTACAATAGTCAATAATAATATCCATTAGGTATATTCATGCGAAAAAATTAGAAGTCTTACGCAATAAACTATTGTGACTAAGTGTAACTGCAGACACGCAGCATGATAACCGTTTTAATCGATTTAAAATTTAAATGAATTATTTATACTTAATAATGGAATCTATAAAAATTAAGTTTTTTTATGAATTTTTTTTTTACACTGCTACTACTACACGCACGGTGTACGTATATTAAATGATAATATTATTAATTGTCGTAACGACCATTCTAGTATTAATATAATATTATCAAATGTTTTATAATATATATTATTGTTGAATGTATTTATATATGATAATAATATAATAATGATGAAATATCTATCGACGCTAGTGCGAGACAACGTTTATTATATAGAAAATTAAATAGCAGTACCACTCTCTATAATAATATAATATATATAGTATTATCTGTTTATCTACAGTGCAAATATTTACTGACGTTTACGGTTCTCTATTTTCATAGATTCTGAGTGAAGCGAAGAATGCTAGTTAGTGATGTTTTTTTTTTTGTTCTTAGATAGGTTCCTATATTGTATCTTTTCGTGAACACTGTTTTTGGATAGAAGAAGTATTCGTAAATTATTTCATGTACAACATATTTAAAGAAAAAAATTATTTTCTAAATGGTACATTATATTGGAGTTGTAACTTTTTTCGATTTTACTCACAAGTTAGAAAAAAACAAAGACGGCCGTCAACCATTTTTGAAGAAATGTCATCTGCCAGTGTTATAGAATAGTGTTTGGACTGCTCAACTTGGAATCATTTTTCGATTGCATAATTTATCATGTCAGATTTTAAATTTCTATATAATTCCACATAATTTCGAAGTAAAATAGGTATACCAGATCTCTGATCGGTATTAAAAAAAAATTATATTAGTATTACATCTAACGTATATTTACTCTAGAAAATAAGTAATAATGTTTAAAAAAAATACAATATAAGTCGTTGTATATGGGCGCGCCGACATTCGATAACGTTCTAAATATACAGTTGAATAATAATAATAATAAAAAGAAAGTAAAAGCATTATAATTATAATTAATATGGTGTTATGAAAAAATGATTTATACTTGGTTGATTACACTTCATAATTTTTCGCACAACTAACACAGTATTTTGTTTCGTTAAAATTTAAAATATTGCATACATTTAATATTGTTATATTAATATACCTATAGGTACAGTAAATATTGTATCAACATACTACGTTGCTGTTACATTATTTTTTATTGAAACAAATTTTATCGATCCGTTTTATCCACCGTGCTTGCAGTATAAAATATAATCGTACTTAAAGATAATATGATATATTATGCGTGTATTTTTTCCTTTATAGAACTGCTGCCATGGTTGACGCAGTTTATCGCGGTAACATCGACGAGTTGTTGTCTGTGATTAACCACCTGAAGAAATACATAATCGCATTCATAATCGTTCTGTTGGTTCTGTTATCGGTGTTTCATTTCTCCAAGTTTTCAGTACATGTCGTGCCGCTGATCATCGTCACGTTAGTACTGTTGCCGGCCGTCTACTACACGACCGTTCTCGTTCTGAAGTTTAGCACCAGCATAATTGCTTCGAATCAAGCCGTAAGTATGATTAAATATGGGTAATACGTGTTATAAAATCGTATTTGTTTGACAGCTCCAGCTGACACCGTATAAAGTAAACTGGCTAAACTGTATATATAATATTATGCTAAGTATTTCAAGGGTATTCATCATAGACATACCACATTCTGCGCCTAGTGCGAATATACAATACGTCGTTATTTATCCTGTTTATCGCGAACTATCCATACACACTTTAACTAATACACAGCACATACGGTAATACAATAATACTATACATTGAACCGTATTTATGCATATGGATTTGATTCATTCCAGTGCAGTAGCCTGCAGTTCATCTTTTTGTTCGAGAGGCTAGGCTTTGGATGATGAGATATTTTTTTTTCTAAAGTGTAAGAATTCGCCAAATTTTTGAGTTAGTTATTGGTTAATTGCGCAATGAATCCCGCCTTCTCCACTTTTTAAAATTATATCCAGTACCGGAATTTTTTTAATAGTATTGAACCAGGTAAATAATTGAGTGTTTGATATATAAAAAAAAATAGAAATTGTCGTAAAATATAAAAAAAAATATGGGCCGCATTTAAACTATTTAAAGCGTTATTCATTTACGAATTGTTGATTATTAGATAACAATATAATATGAATATAATAATTATTGTTTCATTCCATTCAAAAATCAATTATAAATTATAAGAATATATTAGACTTAAACGCGGTAACTAAGTATAGTCTAATAAATCGACTAAAAATGTGAGCTAGAAACACATGTCTATTGGATGGCATATGCACGAACTTTTCTCCATCATATATAATATTTTGTTCTCAATTCATAGGAATATTTCAAATTATAATATTATAGTTGTTATAGCTATAACAGCTTAATTATTGGATTGTGACGGTTAATATTGATATAAACTATAAAATATTACATTATACTATTAGGCATCGAAATCCTTTCAATTATCACATCATCGGACATTATAGTTTTTAGGTTTTTGATTATAACTAGTCGATACATTGAAGAGCCTATAGATCTCGCGAGAATTAATTTTCAACAAGGTTTCTGATATTGGTACTTATACTACTAACTTAATCCTAACCACCAAATAAGATTTATTTGTTTGATATCAAAATGACGTCAATGACTTATCGTTACTTATACAGTTTTCTTATAACATTTTTCTAAACAGATTTTCGTCCGATAAAAATAAAATGTATTAACCGTTTGCAACAAAAGAACAATAACATTTTTTTTTTTTTGGAAATAACAGGTAATTATTTGAAAATGAAATATCTGTAACTTTTCTATAATACAAGTATAAAACAGTATTTTGGTAAATTACTGTACACGAAATCTTGAGAGAAGATGGAAATGCTATCGATACTTATGAGTACCTATATCGATTTTGTCAGTTAGGAGGAAATTATGAGTCGTAGGCAATCGTTTTATTAAGATTATAAGTATATTTTGGAGAACGAGCAGAACTAGCCTGAAATTAAATATAGCAGGTTAGACCGTGGTTGGATATTTGTATACACTATATCATTTTTATAATCATATAGCTATATGTATATAAATATATTTAATTAATCTTATTTTATGATTAAGTTTCTTAATTGTCGACAGATAAAGTTGAAACGACGTGAAATTATATATTTTAAATTTGAGTGAAATAGTGGGCTTGTAAATGCGTATTTATAATATTGTATATAATAATTTGTATTTTCAAATTTCGAGTCTAAATAATATTATATAATTATTGATATTTTATCGGTGTAGCCGTGTATTTTTTATAGGTTGGGTTTGATGGCTATATACTCACCATCCCATATCACAAGTTACGCTTATAGGGAGCTGGGGAGGTGTTAATTGTTGGTATTATTGTAATATTGATATGTTGTACATTGTTATATCAATGAATAAATAAATAATAAGTTATATTAAAGTATACTATATAGAATACTATTGTGGTTGAAAAATAATTTTATTTTTTATTTTTTTATTTTATTTTTTTTAATTGATCCTGAGCCCGGCAACTGTGGCCATTAGCTATTAGTAGGTACTGTAGGTTTTTTTTTTTTTTTTTTGATGGTTTGTGGGTTTTTGGAACGGTAGGGGGAACACGTGTGTGTTTGTTTTGGCAGAATTTCGAATGGGGCACCCGTAGGTTTCTGCCATGCCCCGGGGGTGGGGGATGGCAGCACTTGCTCTCCGGTCACCGCGACTTGTCCGGAGAAAAATGCCGCCCGGTGGCCGAGGATCGAACCGCGACCGGCTGCGTCGCAGCGGAAGAGTCAGACCACTCGGTCACCTCGTCCCCAATAATTTTATTATTTTCGTAAAAGTGATTTATAAGTTGGTAATACTGTTTGCATAAAATGTTTTGAAAATTCATTGTAAGAATCGTTGTTTTCTTGGAAACGTATAGTTTATACTTTTTGTTTTTACCATTACAGCGTCTTTCATTGTGTACAGCTGAAACTGTGCAACCTGTGTATAAGTTTACACAAGTCGTGTTTGCAAAAGCATATTCGACCAACACAGCTGTTCGGTCGTATTTTCCTTTGTTGACTTACGAAAATCAAAATTATTGCAGCTCTATGGCTATGCATTTTTCGATAAAATGTTGTTGGCAATTTAAATTTGTATGGAAATTTGGGAATTGGGACGTACACATATAATAAATAATAAATATGCATATACACATATTATAAATATGCATATTATTATACATACAGTCATACAGAGCTAATTTGTTCTTTGAACCAAATAATATTATTATAATTACTAGTTTTATTTATATACCTATTATTATATATTATACAGAGGATGTAACAACTGACAAGAAGACCTGACAAATTAAATAACTTTTGTTCTAAACAATATTTTCAATATTTTTTTTATAAACGTACAATTGATTGACCCGTGCGTAACGCAAGTACGTGTAACACGTATAATATAAAAAAAAGTTTTTATTTTTAAAAGTCCTAAAAATAAAAAAACTTAAATTTGATTCAATTTTTTTTTTAATTTCAAAATAGCCAATTTGTTAATCTGGTTTTTAGAAGACAAATGTTTTCAAAAAAATGTATCTATAAATAAGTCTAATTATAATTTGTATTATTTTTTAAGATGCCATCATTTTTTTTTTTGAAAATTATTAAATTTTTTAAAAAATATTTCGATTTTAACAAGTAAAAAACCCATTAAAAAAGGTTATAATTTTTTAACTAATAATTTAATTTAATTGTTTTTTACTACTGGATCAATCGTACTTACCAATAATAATGAGATTTCAAGCAATTTTAGAAAATAAACCACAATTTAATAAATGTTTTTACAATCAAATTTTTCTAAAAATCAGATATAAAAGTTGGCTATTTTATAATAAAACGTTAAGACGCTTATATTATATAAAATGTTTGGATGATAGAAGCAAAAAAAACTTATTACCTACACTATATCGATTGTTAAAAATTGGCTATTTCGAATTTTTCAAAAAAAAATGTATTCAATATAAATTATGTATTTACAATTTTTTATTTACAGTAATTATTAAAAAGAAAAACTGTTATACTATAATTGCAGCGAAAGAGAATGTAAATGATATTAAAAAAAATAAAATTAATAATATTATTGATTAGTACAAAAGTTATTTCATTCGTCAGGTCTTCCTTCCTATTGGCTGTTACACTCTACACCTTGAATATTATAGCTTATAGGTAGCCAATAAAATAAATGTACGTCGTTTAATAATATTAATGAGACTGCATGTATGCTGCTGTTTATACTTTATAATAACATAATAAATATTAATAATAGAACAATACTAAAATATTATTATGTAATACTCTTCATTAAACGCTTCCAGTTTTCGTATTCAATTTTAGTGACATAAGAGCGTAGGTATATTACATTGAATCCAATTGCTATAACCATGTATTCGTATATAATATTCAAACCGATTTAACATTATTAAGGTGATAATACGACAAATTGACACAGCAAACTCATAAATAGTCGCGTGCAGGAATTTTTCATAGGTATGCAAAATAGAATGAGCCCATGTAGGTGAGGTGTATACTACAACGATACTAACCGTATACAACGATTTATACTAAAAAATGGATTAAAAAAATTCTATCTTACAATAAAATTACTGTTATATCTTTTATTATAAAACGTTAAGACGGTTATAGTATATAAAATGTTTAGATGACAAGAGCAAAAAAAAACTTATTACCTACACTATATCGACTGTTAAAAATTAAACATTCCTTGCCAATTGAGGGTAGACAGACCACAGTTTTGGGTGACCAGTAATATGAATAAGTACGTTTTTACATTGAATCTGATATTCGATTGTTATCAAAACTTCTGAGAAGAGTGTTTCAGTATATTTTATAAATTTAAAAATATTATAACACTCGCATATATACGTATATACATATAAAAGTTAAACCGAAATTTCAAGTTTACTTTATATACTTACTATTATATAATATTCTAGAATCCTATAAAAGTTTAAACACTAAACATAATATAATATTTAAATTAAAAACGTAAATGGGGATCTCTCAACATAATGATCACTTTATACCATACATTATAATGAACCTAAGATAAATGAGGACATTTTAAAGAAACTATCAGAAGTAATATTTTCTAATTCTAAAACGTTACATTTTTGTATAGAGTATAATATACTATAACGCTCGTTAAAATTGGTTTGTATTTTATCACTGCGTAATAGATAGGTATGTGAAAATAATCTTTGTAACAAATTAATTGAATAGCCTTTAAATCAGGTTTTTTAATTGTAATGTTTTTCGAACAATTATTTCTTTTTATAGCCGTCACTTATAATAGTAATTATGTGCACAATTATTCATGAATGTGATTTTAAATTTTAATACCATTAATCATGGTATTATAAGTGTTCATCGTGTCCTATCCTTCTGTTGAGACTTCGTTGTTGATTTTTCAGACAATTGGTGTAATAAAATTAACCTACTATTTTAGAATTGTTATTATTTTTGTTATTAAAATTTAGTCTGCTTTTGTTATATTTCGTGCATTTAATGCTATGGCATGCGCAAGCCTTAATTACTTATTGATGTAGACATTTTAAATATAATTGCTAGATTTTAATAAGACAATATTCCAATGTTCAAGAATTAAAATTTTTTTATTAAAAACACACAAAATTAAAACGACTAAGAAAACTATAATATACAGTAATGTAAGCTGATATAATGGATATATTACGTATTACGTAATATTTTTAAAATATTAAGCAAGACTTAATATGCAGTGGTTTAAGACTATAAACAGAGTTTTATTTATTACAGAGGTATATATTATTATTTGTTTTTCAATGATGTGTGCATTTACTGCATTTATTTTTTCCTTTTTCAAGCAGATAATTGTTGCTTCGATGTATAACATTTAGGGCATTTTTTGGTTTCAAAATCTGAAAAAATAAACAAAAAATATGGATATTAATTATTCAACACCATTTTTTCGAAAAAAAATTATTTTCTGTAATAATTCGAAAAGGGTTTTTGTTTAAATTAACACCATAATGTGGCATTTTAAGGTGTATAGGTACAATTTGTAAAATTATATCAAAATAGTATTGGTATACTAGTAAGACAGTGTACAATAGGAAATTAAAAGTATACAATTATAATAACATATAACGTAGTATATTTAATTAGTTTTAAGTAAAGTAGAAAGGTAGCCGAATAACTAAAATAAATGCACATTATTAAGTTTACATAATTTTTCCAATACTAAGCTGCATTGGGTTACATACCTACTTATATTTATAAGCATTTTTTTTTAATTCCGTAAAAAAATTTTTACGGAATTATGGCCAATGGTTGACCCATCTCCAGGTGTATTCCGGACTTCTTGGGCTTCTTCTCCACTGGACCTAGTTGATAGCTAAATACTGCGAACTAAATACGATCACACCATCGAAATCAGTGGCATTCCTCAACTGGGAAGGTTATACACATTTTTAGAAAAAAAAACTAAAATTAATCAAAGACAATCCAAGTGAAAACAATCTAACCAAGGTTACCAAACAATTTTAACAATAATTTTCATTTATTTATTTTTGTTTTTTTCCGATTATTTTAAAAAGAACTGAGAATTTTCTATTTTTACCTCCATAAAGTACCCACTAGATCTAATTCGCTCCTACATGCCTCCATAATAGTTAGTTGATCAGTAAGCATTTTTCTACTAGAGAAGTTGTGATATTGAAGTTGTAAAAAAAATATTTCAAACACCTATTTCACCTAAACGTCTGAAATTATTAAGCTGGACAAAATAAAAATACAAATGTAATTAATTTAACTAAACATCCACTAAACAAAAGGAGCGAGTACTTTGCATTTTTATACTAGTTGCTTGCTTATATTAAATGTATTATTATTTTTCAGGGAGAAGTTTCGACAATGAACTCTGACAACAACCAACAAGTCCTAAAAACTCCCGACCTCCCATACCCAAACAGTCCGACACCACCTCCGTCCTACGAGGAAGCGACGCGTAACGACCATTACTATCAACCACAATCTTGGTTACCTTCGACGAGCAGCGGGTATACCAGCAGTGGTCAGTCGACAATACCCGCTGTGTTCAGCGTTGAGTATCAGTACAACGATGCCATGTCAAATGTCAATAGCGGAAGACCGGCTGCTACTACGACCACGACTACACATAATCAGACCCAAGACAATTGTACGTCGTCACAAAATACTACAATCCAAAACATTCCCAGTGTTACCATAACGTTGGACAGTGATCAACATCCAACTGAAATGCAATGAAATAATAATAGCTGTGAGTCTAATATCAAGTGTCTGAATTTGAGTTTGATGGAAATCCAAAAATCTGGATTGCAGGGACAATCGATTTAATTGAGATAATCCGAAAAAATATGGCAATCTGGATTGTCAGGGCAATACAGAAAATTTAGATAGTTGGATTTCCTTGCCTGTTTTCTTATTATTAAATTATTTAACTTAATTATTATGATTATTTAGAATGGCATTGTTATTATGATTACATATACTCTGTTCGCCGAGAGACCAGGACTGCGCTGCGGACGAAAACTTGTCGATCCCCAACACTGTTACTCATAACAATTAATGGCTATGCGCCCGCCAGCTGCTCAGAATTCGGGCCATGCATACAGCATCATGTTTTTTTGAAGTTATTTCAATTCATATTTTCAAGCGCCTTTCGTGTTATTTTTTAAATAAGAAATAAAAATATGTGTTGTATGGACTTTATAATAGAATATTATTATAACGGCCGACACGAACGTTTATTTGAACTCACTACGTATACAAAAAAGCTTAAGTTCGTACAGATTGGATATTTGACGGAGCGCTCGTATTTCCGTCAGTCGTTTGCGCGAAACGGTCCTGGTCTCTCGGTGAACAGGGTATAGGTATCGCATTTAATTTTTGTTAAATAATTATTTATAAAATTGTTAAAAAAAATGTAATTCGATTAAGTAATTAGATGAATGAAAATATAAGTACAATAAGTATCCAGATGGATGTCCAACAACTTATAAAAATACAAATTATTTCAAAACATTAGGCGAAATTTAGCTATTGTCATCGCATATTATATATTGTTATTAAATTAAATTTTCATTATTATTTATATTATTGTTATACTGAGATTTTTATCAATAATTTGTATTGTAAATAGGTAGGTACTTATCGTTGTTTAAAACGGAATTTGGAAATTTTAAAATTTGTTCTCAATTTCTAATTAATGTTGGTGATTCATTTTATTGTTGAAAGGCATAAGTAAATCAATTAATATAATCAAAATATCTAAAATTAATAAATTATGTTATTTTAAATGTTTGCTCAAACTTTAAATGATAAATCTATTGCTATGAGCATGGTTTTTCTATTATTCTCATGCAATAACAATAAATTAATGTTTATTTAATTTTTGTCACAACAATTTATGAATACCTACTTTAAATACTTACTTATATAGTTTAATTATAGTGCAGTTCTTATTTTTATACAATTCTTTCTAAATTACGTTATTAGTATGTATATTATAATAAGTTACCTTTTACCAGAGCCATCTTCAGGGGGGGAGGTTGATTGGGGCAGTGTATATTATATATGTTGTTAAATATTTAGGATTAGGTTAATTATATTAAATATATTGTATATGTAATGCATGGAATTGGCCCCTCCCCTATAATAGAGCCTTGGGCCCACTGCCTCTTATGCCTAGTATTATCAAATTTCCCCATTGTCCCATAAATCCCTTTATTTTTGTCTTTGGTATAAAAAATACAATTAATTTAAATGTATTGTTAGATATAACTCCCCCCTCTTATTGAAATTCCTGGGCATGCCACTGAACAGCTGGATCATAGTTAATTCGGTCCTTTCATAAATAGGAGTATAAATAAATATATTTAAATATCAATTCCTATTGTTTTTTTCGCTTGTCAGAAGGTTAAGAATTGACTGAAAAATAATTGTGGATCACATTGGTTTACCAAACATCTACTACCTTCTTCTAAAAGATTATCAAGAGAGCATGAAAAAAGTTACAATAAATGAAGAGACTTATGTTTAAATTTATGCTTTATTGGGTAAGGCATTTCGTCGAAGACATTTAAATACGATATCGAGAATGCTGATTCATTGCAATTTAAAAAAAGTTCAACATACTGTAATATTTATGTGTCTTTATAGCAATATTGTTACGTATAGGTACTGTATATTATATTATATTATTGTTTATCGTTACGTTTATTAGCAGTTGAGATGAACAATATATAATAATATAACAATTAACAGTAAATTGTACCAAATACATTTGTAAAATTGGAACAATCGATTTTGAATACTTTTTTTAAATAATAAAAAATAATTCGTTAATAAATGTTTTTTTTTTATTTTAGTATTTTTTTCTTATGAGTTTACGAACACATTTTTTTAGAAAACAACAAAATGGCTGTTGTTTTTATAGTTAACGAAATGTGTTATGCTCGGCATATGTGTGTGTTTGAACAAAAATACCTGCAGAACTTTGAAATATCAAAATATTAAAACAGTCGTCTTGCATTTATTTTATTCACTTAAAAATTAAACATAATATTGTGTACAAATTATTTTGTACATTAAATAAATTATATTTATTTTCTCTAGACCCGTTTAATAATATTATATGCAATATGCATTATTATGTAAGCTATTATGTCATAATTAACAACATATTATTATTCTTCAAATAATCATGATTGATTGTATGAAGAATAATACAGATAGTGATTTTTTGAATTTGAATAATATAATATTATGTAGTTAAACTCAAAATGGTTTAAAATAATATTATTGATGTAGATAGTAATGACTAATAAGTAATAGCTAATTAATTGCTAGTACGAAAAGTTGTATATAACAATAATATATGTCATTATGCAGCCAATAGGTTCTTATAATTCATATAATTTTCCTCAGGTAATAGCACATTAATGCTAGATTGACAATTAGCTACCGTGGTCGTTCATATCATATTTTGGTTTTAAAATGTATGATGCCGTTTTGAGTATTATAATTTTTAATCCAATTCAAAATAAAAATGTTTTTATTTTTAGTTTCAAGTTTTTACGTATTATATATATTTGACTCTATCCCTAAAAAATGAAACATCGAACAATGTTTTGTTCAAATGCCTTTTATACCATACCATGGCTGTTGTAGTTACAACATAATTTAAAATTTTTGGAATAAATTAATGTTTTAAAATAGAATTTAAAACCAAACATACCAAAAGATTCTTTAATGTCTATAATGCCTCTCTATTGTAGAGTTATATTTTTGCACACCTTCGCTCGTTCGATAAAATATTACAACCTCTCCGTTATAATTAATATTCGTCTTAATCTTCGTTATCCATTCAAAATACTACATTAATTAATTTCAATAATCTTTAAAGTCGATTTCATCATTTAAAATGTTATGATCACTATTTTATTTTACTTGGAGATTTTATATCGTTTATGATTTTATGATAAACGGTCTCCAATATTTTTTTTGGGCTATTGTAAACTCTCCCGGGCCTATAGTACTTCAGTACTACTAAGCTAGGCGAGCATGGGGCATTATTCGTATTAGGCAGTTGGTAAGGTTGAACAACTTGGTTGAGCCATTATAGTCAATATCGTTTTAAATATTTAAATTAAAAATAGGCTGACGGTAATGAAATATCTAAATTACTAATACGGGTTAACGGTCATACAATTGATAATAAATATTTAAAACGATAATCACAATCTCTACAGTGAAACCAATTCATAGTGTAGCAATAACATTTAAAACAACCCAGGAGACCCGAGAGAGTTTACACATTTCCTTCAGGTAAACATAATATTGACCCGGGAGAGTTTACCATCGGGAGAGCTTACTAGTTTTAAAAATCGGGAGAGTTTACCACACAATTGGGAGAGTTTACCACCACCCTTTTTTTTCAAACAGTTAAATCAGTTTAGAAAAAATATTAAATTAAACTGCGATATTTAACTTTAGTATATATTACATAGGTATAACCGTATAGGAACATCAATTTTCTCACTATATAGTGAAGGTACAATAAATACTGAGTGAGAGTTATTAATCATGTTTATTTTTGGAAAAATGTATATTTTTTACAATTAAATTATAGAACATTAATATTGTTGTGTTGAATTAACTTTTCTATTAAACTCATTCATTTCATTTTTTTAATCAATCGGAAATGGTCGCTACCTGTAAAAGTGCACCTAAACATAAAGAAGGCACATAAATATTTAATTAAATCCCTTATGACTTTTTACATATTATCTAAAATATAGAAAATGTTTTATTTAACCTTATAACTTTTGTAAATTTTTATATTGCTGTTGATTTCTGTTTAAACAACTGTGTAAAATCTGAAAATAATGTAATTTTTAAAAGGTATACTAATATAATATAAGACATTATGACTGTAATACATCAGAATCTAAAATACAAAGTATTACTGTGTATTACAATTATGTAGTATTTCATTTTTTTAAATGTACAAATTATCTAGTAGGTGCATTAGAGCTATACAAAAATGAGTAATAATTGAGTTTTTCAATTTTTTAATTTAAGATATTAGTTCTAAAATATATTTACGAAGGACTGTTGTCATAATATTATTTAAATAATTATAATGTGAAATAAATGGAATAATTAATATCTGAAATCACTTACTCAAAAAATTATTATACTCAAAAAATTATTATTATCTATCCATAACTAATATTTAGTAAAATGTCTAAGACCTAAGCTGTTAATCTCATTTGGAAGAATAGAATAGTGTTAATTGTAATATCCATAATTGATGGAGATGAAAACTTGTACACAATTATTCTACGAAAGTCATAATTCAATACTCATAAAGCTGATCATACGCAGTATAAAAAGAACTTGCTTACTATTGGAATATTTGTTGACCATATTCAACGAAGTTTGAGCTTCTGAAAATTTAAAATTTCAATTTCACATAGTATTATAGGAGGTGTAAATTAGATAAAATTGATTTTATACACAGATTTAGTTATGAACATTTTATTATTTCGTTTATTAGTATTCATAATTCAAGATTTAATGTCTGGACTAGTACTTACCTATTGGTAGATTTTATATTATTAATATATGTTTATTTGTTGCTAAGACATTACATAATTTTGATTTATAGAAACCTTTGTAACTTGTGATCAACCTATTTTTATCGTATTGTGAGTAGGTAGTGTGTCGTGTGTGTGTTGTACAGCACTTATACACCAACCAGACTAACCGGTATTGAAACGGAGTTATCTTGTCCAACTGTCCCAGTGACCCGGCCTAAGTAAGTAGATGGCTGTACTGGTCGAAATATCCAAACAGTATTATAATAATTTAATTTATACCGAGGTGGTATTGATTATATTTCAGAAGAAATATATAAGAGGTCCTGGCTAACCTGTTACTTTCAGAGAAAACCAAATTATAAATCCAGACTTTATGACCGTCAAAATTATGTATCGACACTCACTTAATATGTTCATCCCATATGACGACGACACAAACATTGCTCCTACGAAAAGGACGTAAAGCCATGTTTTCTTAAATCCAATCATTGTTGCTATTATATTGGTGCCTATAAAATAATTACAAAAATTAATATTTTTATGAATTATTAGAACCAATAATACCATGCTTTGAAAAAATACTATAATAAATTCACGACTTAATACACAACTATCCTTTTGTGACAAATTAAGTTTAGATAAAATATTATATTAAATTAGGCAGTATGCATATTACTAAAATTTAGTTAGAAAATATTAGATAAAAAATCACAAAATGTTTCTAAGCAATAGTATCCATTATATACCTTTAATTTTAAATAGTCAAACGATTTATGTTTTTGCAAAATAATTTATAGAGAAAATAGGTATGGTTCGACTGGTTCGAGTATCGAGTGAATACAAAAGCTCAGACAAACACAACTATCTGTTATATAACGTACCATTCCTAATATGTGTTATGCTATAATTCAATTTGTTTAATTTTTAACAAAATTTACTTCAGTGTAAATATGAATTATTCGTATTTACTATTTACTGACTACCTAAATGATTTCAGTTTGTATGTTTATGCGCAAGCCTGGATCAAGGGAGAGGGTATGGCCACCTGAGCACAAGACTTGACACTTTTTAGGGGCCTCTTATTTTTCACCATACGTTTATAATATTTTAGTTATTATTACTTATTAAAATAAATTGGACGTAATAGAAAATACATACCTTTTACCATTAATTTGAAGAAAATATTTATAGGTAAAGAAAATTTAGATTCTAAAAATAAAAACTTATTCCTCGTTGCATGAAAAATATATTAATTTAATGGACTAATGATGGGCCACTAAATCATGTGTAAGGGACCATTAGCTCACTATTGATTGGTTAAATGTTTAGTGATTGTTTATGCAACCTATAGCATTAACGCTTTTAAATTTTGACGATATAATAATACAAACATTTGTTTCAGAAAAAGCTAGAACATTTTTTTTATTGAATACTTATGTGAGTTGTTACATTAAATGTTTTTTGAGAATAAAAATACATTAATAGGCAATTTTTTAAAATTTTATAAAAAAAAACAAAATCTTAATCAAGGCTCGCATTATTTATTTAAATGTTATCTCATTCATGCGCACAAAAAATTCTTCTCTAATAAATGCAATAACCAATTAGTATCTTTATTTGTTGGTATTGTTGTATTCAATGGCGAAAAGAACCTAAAATAACCCATAAGTAACCTATAATTTACCCACCACCCAACTAGCTCATTCCCAGCAATTTATAATAGACACAAGTACTATTAGCATTATTATTACTATTTGCCCACTATAATTATTAATCACTTTTTATATTAAGTTCCCATCACCCACCCCTAAATATTAAAAATCGAGGAGCAATAAATTACTTCTCAAACACCATGTTTTGTTTGCCACTAATTGTATAATATCGTTTTAAATTCAATATTATATTATATTATTTCCATTATTCATTGTAATGTGTCGTTTTAATGTGTGCCATGAATTACATATTCAGTTACCATGTTAGGTAATTCCAACATGTTTTCAAGCTAACATAATTTTCACTTAGATATCATTATTTAGTAATCACTAGTCACTATTCACTGGTTACTTCTTAGTTCTTATTACTAATGCCCGCTAATGCTATAGAATGGATACAATCAAGGCATTTCAGAAGTAAAAATATTAACCTAACCTCTATTATTCTTGGATTTCTTTTTAATTATAATTATCTTTTTCAGTTTAAACAATACAACAACAAATATATAAATTAATGTAAGTTATAATAAAATAGTTAATTTCATAAATATCGGGTATTCGTGTGTGTGAAATTTAAATTTATTTATTTATTTATTTATTTGATTGAAACAATTAATACAAAAATAAATAATAAATAGCAATGATTCCTTTCGTTTCACAGTCTAAACGCAGTACCAGTGACTTAATAAAAGCTCATACAGAAATTGTTATTTATTATAATCATATAAATTATTTATGTTTTCGACTATGGTTCTAGGGCCCTTCTTCCAAAATATGTCCTTGAAGCTGCAGAGGCCGCACTTGCATCCACCATACAAACGGCCGGTCTAATGTAAACTCCGTCATTTTTATTTTCTTGCCTGTAATGGATATATGGAAACTCTGTCAGTGCTCAAGTAAAACTTAATAATATATCTCAACTAAAGAAGCTCAAACATCCAAAATGATAGTGTTAGAGAACGTTATAAATAGTTATGATAATGCATTGATAATGCATTTATATTAGACTGAGAAGTCAGAATATCTACAAATTGTATCTCATAATTTTAGTTCACAGTTCACATATTATAACATATCATACTATACCGACGTTGCTAGGTACATATTTTGTGATTATTACAATTATTTATTATGATGATTCACCGGATAATTTGGATGATTTGTTCTGACGATTATTATTTTTATTAATTTTTGTATATCTTTTAGGATATTATAATAATGTTTATTAATTTTATACTGTGACATAATTGTCTTCACTGACAGAGTTTACATGAATGCAATTTTACTTGATTATTTTCTCTGGCGGAGTTTACATGAACCCAATTTTACCTTTTTTTTTTCTGGCGGAGTTTGCACTAAAAAAAGGTACTTGCGACGGAGTTACATGCGCCCACACAAACTATGTTGTTATCTCTAACTTGTTGGTCCCGTGAACATCTGAAATATTCAGTTTCTTCTCCCATACATTTTGTTCTACAATGGCCTATAGACACATTGACTTACGCCAGGCATGGAAAAACGGGACAATAGCATTGCACAAAGTAGCTATGCTAAATTGGAGCAATCGAATTTGAATATTTATTAAAGAAAAAAAATAGTAAAAACAAATAGTCTATTAGGTTTATTTTTTATTTTAGTATTTTTCTTCTGAATTTAAGTATACTTACACATTTTGTTGGAAAACACTAATATGGTGCCTAGTTGTCTTGATAGTTAGCGAAATGGGTAACGTTCAGTAGGGCGTAGGTTAATTCTTCTTCTTTTCCTGGTTAGGTTGGGTGTTGAGAAAGATTTTGACCGTGTTTGGCAAGAGGGACCTAACCAAGAGGGATTCTAATACAAAATGTCAATTATGAATATCCTAATCCATTTTATACAAATAATATTCATATAAAATGACGAAGACACAATCGCTGCTAATATAAAAAAAACATAAAGCTATGTAATCTCAAACCCGATCGATTAGGTATTGTACTGGTTTCTATAAGACAAATAAGAAATTATAAAAGAGAATAATCCGTCAGCCGACCAATTTCGTCAGTGCTGTGCATTTCTTACCAACGAACCGGTGTAATCGTTATCGTTTTAGACGGAGTTCAACTAAATGTTTTTGTTATGATATCATACATTTTTACCTCAATATATTTTTTATTAATTTTGCTTCTCAATTATTATAATATAAAAGCCTTTGCCACCAAAAGGCGTTTATATTATAAACCAAAATTTATTAATAGTAAGTTATTAGTATATTACAATTTTTAAAGTAATACGTAATAACTAATAATTAACAGTAACCAAATAACATACGTACACTAAACGAAAAGCTTCGATTAAGACAAATTGTCGACGATAGTCGATAACGAAATTAAACAAATAGTAAATACGTCAAATAGCAATAATGATACGTTTCGTAACCATAAATATACATGAAATTGAGAGGTCACCTTAATTCCTGATTTCATCTTAATTTCTTTTTAAAATCTTCCATCTACAGTAAACCTTAACGGTGTCTCTAGTACCAACAATGTAGATGCATCTGAGCTCTTTTCTAAGCATTTTAGTTCTGTTTTTTCGTCAACCAACATATGTACTGTAAACGCTTTACCTAATGGTCTACCCTATGACCTACCTTCTTGTTGCTATGTTGATATTGATGATGTTGAATCTGGTTTGTCTAAGCTACGCTCGGTGAAGTCAATTGGTCCAGACAGTTTGCCAGGATTTTTTTTGTATCACATAAGGTCGGTATTATGTTACCCGCTACTTCTCATTTTCAATAAATCTCTTAGTGAAGGTTTATTTCCAGATATATGGAAAGTAAGTTCAGTCTCGCCCATTTTCAAATCTGGTGATAAGTCTATTGTCTCCAACTATCGACCAATCTCCAAAATTTGCCACGTTGCTAAGCTTTTTGAATCCCTTGTTCTACAATCGATTCAAAAGTCTGTGAATCACGTTCTTATTGATGAACAACATGGTTTTCGTTCTGGCCGTTCTACTACAACCTGTAACGCTATCTTCACCAATTATGTACTTGATGCCTTTAGGAATCGCTCTCAAGTTGACGTGATTTACACTGACTTCGCCAAGGCTTTTGACCGTGTAAGTCATAAAGCCTTATTTCAAGTACTCCGTGCAACCGGTTTCGGTGAACCGCTCCTATCATGGTTTGAGTCTTATGTGACGGGTAGAAAACAATTCGTAAAATTAAATGGTGTGTGTTCAAGTATGGTTAATATTACGTCAGGTGTGCCGCAAGGTGGTCACTTATCCCCTGTATTGTTTGCTCTATTCATTAACGGCATCAGCTCCGTAATAAAGAATTGCCGATTTCTCGTATTTGCAGATGATATTAAATTATTCCTTCGCATTGATTCCTCTCGTGATTGCGTTCTGCTCCAAAGTGAACTTAATGCCCTGGTAATTTGGTCTAGACAGCTTGGTTTAGATCTCTGTATTCCTAAGTGTCATTATATGTCTTTCACGCGTTCCCATAGCCATATTCGGCACGATTATCTAGTTGATGGTACTAGTTTAAGTTTCTCTGGTAGCCATGTAGTTGATCTAGGTGTCACATTTGACCGGACTTTAAGTTTTAATCTCCATATTGAAAAAATCACGTGCAAGGCCTTAAAAATGCTTGGTTTCATAAAAAGAATTTCATCTGAGTTCAATATGTGTAGTTCTTTGAAAGCCCTTTATTGTGCGTTTGTGCGATCCCACCTCGAATACGCGGTAGTGATCTGGGACCCTCAGAATTTACGTGATTCTTTCCAAATCGAGCGTGTCCAGCGTAAATTCTTAAAATTTGCTTCTTTTGTACTTCGTATTGACTGCCTTCCACATGATTATGCACCAGTTCTAGCGAAATTAAATATGGAGACGTTGAGTACTAGAAGGAAAAATGCTAATTTGGTGTTCTTATCGAAACTTTTGAGTGGGGAAGTTGACGCTCCAGATATGTTAGGGAGGGTTAATTTTAATGTTCCCGGCGCTAATCTGCGCAACTTTTCTCCTTTCCGGGTCCCGTTCTGTGCGACAAATTACTTATATAATGAACCCATTTTGCGTATGATGGCACTAGCTAATGATGGATCCTATAACATCTAATCATCTTATTGTGTGTAATTATTTTGTACTACATTATTATCTGATAATATTATGTATGTTATAGTGTATTATATTTTTGTTAATTATTAATTTTATATAAATGTCAAGGGCCTATCCCGTTTACTATTATAAATAAAAAAAAAAAAAATGTTTTGCTCGTTTCCTTTAATAACTTACTTTCTAACAGTATAATTTCGATGATTTTTACAAAAGATGATATCTGCACAATTTTACTGATGTTTTCCAATTTAAATTTATTAGGTATTGGTTGATTCAGTAAATAATTAGTAATGCCGTCTGACAAAAACACCAAAATTTACACGATTTAAATCGGTAATTCCTGTTTCTACATAATATTATACACTGTCGTGTCGCTGCTTGTTTTTACTTAGCTCATCGCGCCACGGTTGTGCCGCTAGATAATATTTGTACAGCAATACACGGTCTAGTACAGTGGTTCCCAATGTTTTTTTAGCACATTATAGCACATATTAGTCGTTTTAAGTCACAATACACTTTGAATAAACATAATTATCTGATTGACAAAAATAAGTTCTTATTATCTTATGAAGACTTCAAAACACATACGCGAATACGCAGATATATATATGTATCATAAACTTTGTATTATATATTTATATATTTATATCTTCATGTATTATTTTTTCTTAATATAGAACAATATTTTATTCTATAATATGCAACAGCAATGTAGAAACTTATCTTGCCAGTGTTAAGATAAACATAGGTCAGAGTCCGTTTTTAAAATAAAAAAGTTTGAGTTTTCACGGCACACTAGGCCATATAGTACACCTTTTGAGAAACATTGGTCTATTGAGTCCATTTAAAACTTAGAGTAAACATTGTGGTGTTTAAATAATACAAAAATGTGTTTCACATAATAATGTTTAAATTATATGATTATTTTCTTAAGCACTTAAATTTTTTAGTTGATGATAAGTTGTTCTTACTCTTGAGAGCGCTTCAGATGAATATTAAATTTAATATCATTTTTGTTATGAAATACTAAATTAAATTAAACTGCAGGGATTAAAACCGGTAAAAACGGAAAATCGCTTTTATTTTAGTAATGCTGGAAGCGCTTATTGGATACCGGTAAAATAAAGATAATTATATCTAAGTATTAATATTAAATAGGTCGCCTTTTATTTTCAACCCGGTTTTATAACTAAAACTTATTCCCGAGTTCCCGACTATAATGATTAATGGATTTTGGTATCTGTGTTTTGTATTTTAAATAAATTATAGATATAGATTGGTATATTTAAATTTAAATTATATTATGTTTTATATTTTTATAGTTGAATTTAATTGTCTAGCTTGTTCTTGAAATATTTTTGCAATGAAACTAAAACTGAAATAAGAAATTAAATTTTGTACATTTTGTGACTTTATATTTAGATTTTAGTGCTATTTCTGGAGTTTTTGTGATATTTTGCAATTTGATCTGTTTTTTTCTTTATAAATATTGGTCATATTTTATTAAATCACATTTTAATAAACATGTTCATGATTATCATCTAATTTTAAAAGTATAAATAACCTGACTATATGTGAGCAGCTTTTACCATTTTGTATTATTTCGTGTTTGGTTCTAATTTTAAACTTGAATCATCTGCTGATTTTGATTAAATCTATTTTTTGTCATATATGGCAAAGATTAGTGATGTTGTGGTTATTCTAGACAGCGTCTTAACTTGTATTTAACTATTTTAACTTATTTATGAAATGCCAATTTTTGCATATTTTTTTTGTATACCTATTTAGAGACATTTAAGGATTATTAATATAGCTCATATTTATGCAATTTTAAGTGCTATACAATTCCAACCCTGGTTATAAGGATAGGGACTTTTGGAGACGAAGTTTAAAATTATTAGAATTTTCCACAACCAGTTTTAATCGGTGACCGATTACAGAAAAAACTAATCAATAGTTATTAACTATTAAAAATTATCTATTATGTTTAAAATATTTTTAGAGAAACGAAAACCGTTCAACATAAATCAAAATAAAACGCTTACCAATTCTCGGGTTTCAAAACATTAAATATTTTTTTGGAAACGGTTTTAAGCCCTGGTTTTAGTTATATTTTAATACATAATGTATTACATCCAAAGTATAATAATAAACTTAATACCAGTGTTTAGAAAGAACGTCGTTCATGAACGCACGTTCACGCGTTCTCACGTTCATAAATAGTGAACGATACGTGAACGTCACTCGTATTTTTAAAATAGAACTTGAACGTGAACGACGTTTATATTTTTAATGAACTTGGTCGATTATTAAGACGTTTAATTTATTTACCATTTAATAAATATATTTTTAAAATATTTTAATCAATCATATTATAATAATATTTTCCATTATAGTTCCTATGATATATATAAACGCGTTCATTTTTTGAATGAACGTGAACGTGAACGCGTTCGTTTGAAAAAAACAGGAACGTGAACGCGAACGAGTTCCTTTTTTAAGTACTGAACGTGAACGTGAACGAGTTCATTTTTTTAGTGAACGTTCCGAACACTGCTTAATACTTAGATAATATTATATCAATCGCAATGGCGTATATTTTTATTTTTATAGATATTTGTTATGTCAATAATGTTTGAGTCCAGCCAAACGTTTTTTGCTGTGTTTCTTATTGTTGGTATGTTTGTGTTGTCGTCTTATGGCGCAGTATATTGGGTATGTTTATAACTATAATAGTCTTTATTTATTATTTCCCAATAAACTAAATTAATAAAAACAATTCATTATATATTATATATTTTTATTATAAAGTTAAACTTTTACTTTCATCTAATTTGAAAACTTATGGGTCATATAATATTTAACTATGTTTGACATTATTATAGTTCCAGGGATGAACTATCAAGAGCACAATATGACTAGCTCATTCAGTTTTGGTAAGCACATGGTATTATTTCATATTGTAACGATTGTTAGTAATAAACTGATTGCAATTTTGCTATAACAAAAACATATCATTTACACACTATTACTTAGATGTGATTAACCGTTGCATACACACACTGTCATCAAAAACAGACGACAAAAAAATAAATAAAAAATAAAACAACGGATATAAGGCAAACACCTAATAACAAAAAAATATATAACATGCATGTGTTCGCACTGGTGAGTCTAATAACACAATATTAATTTCTGTTGTATATGATAAGTGCTGCAGTGCATGTATAAAAAATATGATACTAATACAAGTTATCACATCGCAGTAATAGTGGGTCTCCAAATTCTAACAATATTTCAATCAGTTTAAAACAAAAAAAATAATACACAAAAAAATGAAAATCTAACGTTAGTGGTAATTATGTAAATAGTGAAAAAGGGTTCTCTGGATAAAAATTATGTATTATATTATAATTATTTTTTGTTCATAGGATAGCACGTTTAAAATGTAAAAAAAAAAAAAAAAAAAGGGGAGTAATGTAACGATGGTGACATCGTCACTTATACTTTGTCACCTATATACGTATAGCCTACATATATACATGTACATATATATTATTATATACCTTATAAACATAATATATAGAATATGCTGACTAAATATATTGAGCCCCTCCTGTTATGATACCATTGTAAGGCTACGGCCAAATGCGAATATTATGTAAGGGTACGGCAGTTCTCCGTTCTGCGCGACACCGTCATGTGAATAGGAACTCCGGGCTGCCAATAACTTAGTTGTAAGTAAATTATATGTAATTAAATTATATTTTAATAACAATTTAAATCAATCTGTATTCATTTGTAACTATAAGATCCCAACATTCCTGCTCCCGAGCTACGGATAAATATATTCAAAGGATACACAACTCCTCCCTGAATATCTTATATTTAACTGGTCTTCCCCGACCACGTTACAATATTATTTACTGACAATGATATTTATTTAGAATGTTGGAAAATGTAATCTTATTATCTTCTTGAGAACTTATTAGAAGTCTTAATAATCAGAATTTTCTAATGGATTTTGTGAATTTCAAGTAACTATTGAACTATTATATTATATAAATTAACTTATTAAATTTCAGGTTTCTTACCAATTCTAAAACGGACCATTAAAGATTTTACCCGAGACCTTTGTTCGGCATGTGTATAATGCGAGAATAGTAAAAAGTTGCAAAAATAATAACACACAATAATTGGTGTAAACTATACAACCAAGTATTGTCTATAATGTACGCAATATCTACAATAAAATAAATCATGCACAATAATTATTTTCATTGTCTAAATTTGTATTCATATTGATTGTTCATAATCATTGACTACCCAATACATAGATTATTTATTCAACTATCATCCATTTTATATACATATAAGTGATATAAACTACTTATAAATAAGAATTGCCTTACTGTGTTACTCTATCTTTCTCTGCCAAAACTACTGAAGTGATTAGAACAAGGTTTTTACTGTTGGATAGTTTGATTCTCCTGAAGTTACCGATAACGAAGACCAGTAGTTTAAACTTTTAAAGAACCCGGATTATCATCAAAGTTAGGGTTTCCAAATTTCCAAATTCAAAATACGGAATTTAAAAAAATGTCTATTTTCCGAATTAAAAACATTTTTGCCTCAGCTTATCACTATTTGTATCACAACCATACTATCTTTAATCGTGGTAATAATTAAGTTAAGAATTAATTAATGATAAAGTTATCTATCAATTTTGTTATCATTATTTTATGATTATTTTGGTTAAAATGTGTGTTTATTTTATTATCTCATTGTAAAAAATACTTATTATATCGTTAATTTTTCGGAAACCAGGAAATTTTAATGTCCCGAAGAGAGCTGTCAGGAATTCAAAATGTCATCAATTTTATTTTATATATAACCTTAAATTTAAATTCGAGCTAAGGATATTTTCTCATACATAAAAAAAATATGTAACCGATAAGATAAGACTATAAGAGCATATAGACTTGTAATTATAAATTCGTTATAACTAAACAAATATATTATATTTTCAACTCGTGTGTGTCGACGTATTTTTTTAATATTATATATGTGACGCTAAGTTGATTTGTTGGTACCTATATTGTTGATATTATATTGAATGTTAAGTAAATAATTGTTCAAAAATACATACATGTAGATAATCGTTGCAATATTTTAATATCGAAATATTTTTTATACTTCAGGTTAGTAGGTAGGTTACATATCATTTTTATCATTAGGTATTTAATGTTGTGATTATTTATTGTTCTTCATTAATTCAAGATTAATTTGTATTTTTAATTCATAAGCAATAGACACTTCGAAAAGACTTACTAGAAAACCTTACTAAATAAACACTGAAGCGTTAAATTAATATTGTAATAGTATAATGTGTATTGGGAATCACCGTTAAAAACACTTCTGTTTGAATATTTTTATATAACGTATTATATAAATAGTTTTTTTGTTACTTAATCTATGGTTTCAGCCAGATATTTAAATAGAAAATATAAATATTATATCATTTGAATATTTTAAGGTAGTCCCTATTTTTTATTTTTACAAATCTGGGTATATTTAAAAATAAATCCGTATGAAATTATTATAGAGTATAATAGGTAGGCGCTTAACGTTAATCAGTCTGAAATAACTATAATATACTAAAGTATTGTCAAAAATATTTATTCTTAAAATAAAAAAATGTTATAAATTACAATGAACAACATATTTCACAATTTATATCTTATAATCGTATATAGTAGAAAAAAGTAGTATTTAAGAAAATAACTATAACGTAGAATTAAACTATACATAATTTACACTAAGTTAACCTTAGAGTAGGTTGTTATTTATTAAAAGTTAAAACCAAGTTTTTACATTGCATTTTTTAAATTTTCGATTTAAATTTAGTAAAACACAAAAAAATTTTTTTATTTTATTCTAATACATCAATATTATCATCAATAATATCATAACATTTTCACATAATAACAATAATCAGAAATAGGAATAAACTTATAGTGTAATTTAAAACAAAAATAAAATAAAATGGAATCAAATAATGTATCGCACATTTAATTTTTTGACTAGATAATAACATATTATAGTACCATGTACCAAAATATGTTGTTGGTTGGACTCATTTGATGTAGGTATTTATTATATAATGTATAGACGTTTACGTCACGAAGGTTGCGCTGATGGAGAGTTCAAGTTATTGAGAAACTTTTTAATATTATATTCGAGATAACAAAAACAAAATTCTGAGGTACTTGTTGATTTTTAAGAACAAAACTATACCTATAATCTTCCTTTTTACATATACTCGTACATAGTTTATAGCGTACACTATGGTATTGAACTTTATATTGTTCTTTGAATAAAACGTGTGTAATCGGATATCTTCTACGCATTAGTAGTAGCGGATCGTGATGTTGACGATGACGAATGTATTTCAAAAAACGATTACATTGTCCCATATATATTATAGCATACTATGGATAATGTAAGGTGACCATAATACGAACAAATTATTGATTTATCATGCGATTCGTGATTCGCACCTGAAAAACAAATTTTTTCACTTAAGACGACGATGAAAAATGAAAAAAAACGTAGCTAGTAACTACTGACGACCGATAAAATAAAGTTTTATAAAAAAAAATAGTATAACAATTTAAATATTTGTCGAAACAATGACGGCATAATATACGATATTATATGGTTTGGACCTACCGTTTAGAATATAATATTATATGACAGCGGCAGCAGCTTAGCACGACCGGTTAGATCATTTGATCCAGTTTTCCTTGATCATATCGGCCGCTTTCTCGCCGATCATGAATGTCATCGCGTTGGTGTGACCGCCTGGTATGAGCGGCATGATAGACGCGTCCACCACCCGGAGTCCTCTGACGCCACGTACCCTCAGTTTTGGATCGACCACGGCGTCTGGGTCCGAGGCTGGCCCCATCTTACACGTGCCCACCTGGTGGTGCAGGTTTGTGGTCAGCTGCCCGATGGAGCAACCCCAGTACGCGTCCGATCCGAATGTCTCGTGTTCACAGCCCGGGAACGGCACCGATAACAGCGTAGAACCGTATTTTTGGAATGCTTGGGTTTTGCTCACTGCGATGGCCTATAATATTATAACCAAATAATGAGAAAAATAAATTCAATTAAAAAAAAAAAGTTATGACATTTTTTTCTATTATTACACATGATTAAAGTCTTGTGGTCATTTAGAATATAGTGACATGAAAGACTTCAAACTAAGAAAGCATAAAAATAAGTTTTAAAAAAAATACTTAATAGTATACGTATAGTATTAATATAATAATCGGATTTATTTTTCTAAATTGATAATATTTTAATATAAATATTTAATAATGTGTCGACCTATTATGTCTGTGTTTATCTATTTTATTTTAATTGAACGCAATAATGTACCTCTATTGCCTATACGTCACGCCGTACAACAAATTACGTTTATAATACGATTCACACACTGAGAATTTTAACTGGGAGCTCGTCTTGGAGCAAAATAGTGGTGTATTATTGTTATAAATTTAAAAGTTATGATAAATCATCATCTATGAATATGATCATGGAAGAGCTATAGGTTTACTATATCATAGATTTTCTAAGATATATTTAAATGTTCAGTAATTTGGAATAAAGTTAGGAATGGTGATGGCGTGACCCAAAATTTGTTTTGACCTCTACAATTATTAAGAAAAAATAATAGAATCTATTTTTATACTTGGAGGAGAAAGCGGTTTGCGCATACTCAAATTTGATCATTATATTGACTTTTTGAATTAATATTATATTATTTTAGAATTGCAGGTTAGGTAACCTATATAATATTTTATAACACTTTGGACATTGAATTCAAACAAGTAAAATGAAATTGATTCACTAATTATGTTACTCAATCTGAAGATGTCCGTGAGTGAGTAAATTAGCGAATAATATAGCTAGGTATTGGAAATTCAAAAATAACACACCGATTGTTGAGCAGAAATAAGTACGCTTTTATCTTATATGTTGTAACTATTTTGGAAGGCCGTAGCTATTTAGAATATGTTGTCGAATATCAGGTATACTAATTCACTCACTGCGTGAGAAGTGAGTATATTATATTGCTGGGGCAATAATTATTTCAAATTACATCTACAATTGTGACAGTACAATTTCAAGGTAGGTACATAATATTATTATTAGTTTAGTATTACACGGCCAATATATTTTTACGAATTCTTAGTGATATATACCTATGAGTCACAAACCAATTCTGAACTATCATAATCATTAAATGCTTTATAAGATATCATAAAATAATAATTATTAATATAGTCACTCAACATAGTGTGTGATTATCAAGCACCAAAGAATGAGTATTATACTTTGCTATCATTTTATTGACTTAACCATTCATTTAAAGATTAATATGAGAAAAATAATAATATATTAATATATATTTCACAAATGTACATAAACGAATATTTTAAAAATAAGGTAATAATTGCAAAACCTCTTGTACGTCTCTTTTAAGAAACTGCTTGTCAGTAGTACTGTGCATTTTACATTTTAGTAATGTGATTAGAATGCATTAAGTTAATTTTAAATAAATGTAAACCATTCAAATACTAAAGCAATACATGATGTATTACGTATCAACCAATAATGGTTAAAAATATATAATTTATATTTTAAAGAATATTACAATTTTCTAATTATTGTATGATTTTAATAATAATATATTAGAAACATCATTTAAATTTAAAAGCGTAATAAATATAAAAGCGGAAAAAAGCCATTTATTATAGATGGTTTTTCCAAGACTACAATTATTATTTATGAATATTAATATTTTAGTTTTCAGTACCTAATAATATATAATAATAATATACCTAATAAGTCTAAATTAGCAAAGAAATTGAAAATAATTTTGAGCAATTCTTAGTTCTATTTTCGAATGATTTAATGAATTCCTATTAAATGATAGATATTAGGTTTCATAATATGATAAAAATATGAAAATGTTTGATTTATTGACTAAATAATAGTTTAAAAAATTGTTATTTCTTACACAGATAGAATTTTGTTAAATGATAATTAAATTATTACTATTTAAGAATGCGTTTGCCTAATAATCCGATGATTGTAATTTAAAATATTGTCACCATAAAAGTTTATAAATGTATAGAGAATAATAAATCTATAATAATATTTTCATCGATTACTTTGAAGGACAATAGTAAAATAATTTCAGTTAATATAATAAGTACTTATTTAATAATTAATATACAATATTATATGCAATGAATATATTATGTAAATTATAAAAATGATATATTATTGTGCTAATGATACAGTCATTGAAACAATAAATATAAAATCGTTATTATAAAAAAATTCGAGTTTGTTGTTTGAGTCCTGCAGCCTGAGCGTATATTATTTATCTATATGACATTGAAGTGTTGATTTCGGAAATTCGTTGTGGTGGTTAAAAAAAAATACGGTTTGATACTTATCAGCAGGGCTTGGGACTTTGTGCATTTGCATATTTGTTCGGGAAGTAAATATAATAAATCTGATCTAGCACAAATTTGTGTTGTGGTGTTTGGAGTTAAAGTTTAAAAGTTTACTGCGCATATGTATGCATATTTTGGAATTTCTTCTACAAATGCATATTTTTAAGATTTATTGATTTTTATTGCAAAATTTAAAATAATGTTTGATTATTTACTCTTAAATCAATTTTTTAGTTAATTAATTTTGTCTACATGATTTTGTCGGCAATAATACCGATAAGGCGATAATCAATTGCGTTACGGGAACCCATTTTATTTTTAGCACTGAGGACAATATAATTTTTTTATCGGTCTTTTATAGTATTATTTTGTTTGCCAGTCCATAGTGATCGACAGACCAGGATCGCTGTCGTGTGCATTTATCGTCAATCGTTGTCGTGTTCGTATTTGTATTCGTTATTTTTTGTATTTATTAGCGCTCGTATTTGTGGTATAATACGCAAAAAAAAAACACAAATTAGTCGGTTGAGAAGTTTAATTTTGGAATTTGGGGATAATGTATTTTCCGCAGACGGAAGAATTTTATTTTGCAAAATATGTGAAATTAAAGTAGAATATGAACGAATAATACAACATATACAAATAGTAAAACATACGAAAATGATTAAAGAGAAGGAAATTTTCAATACAAGAACCCAGAAAATAATTACACAAACTAATAAAACTAGATTATAATTATAAAATTATTATTTTTTATTACATACAAACTTTAATTGCTATGTAAAGAAGATGCTGAGTGTTAAAAAATCCAAATTTTTTTTATAATACAGTATGTATTAAATATAAATTTTTAGTATAATATGTACAAGATATGTTTTTAACGTCTTTTTTAATTAAAAATAAATGCATATTTAAGCACATATTTCGATATTTTTTTGGTGCATATGTATACTCATATTTGTAAGATTTTAAGCACATAAAGTCGCGAGCCTCTGCTTATCAGTATAATATTTATTGCCATCACCATCATCATCGTCATCATCATCGGCTCCGGCAGAGTTTATAAACTGCTTATCGGTATTCGCGAAAAAATATTTATACGAGTATAAATCATGATAATATATTATCATACGAAAATCGAAGCAGTTGGAGGACGTGATAGTTTGGATCACGTGTTGGACGCCGCCGCAAAAACTGCAGTCGTGATCGCATGACAAAGTGATTGCGAAATAAGCTATAGTTGAAACTACCTATATATACTAATGTTGTATACCATTACAATATATTAAATAATACATAGATATATGATATATCACTTGCGCAGGTTAGTATGTTTGACCAACTCCTATTTGACGACGTGAACAAATTGAGTAGGCCAAAAGATGCAGTGGCTTATCTGCTCGTCGTATAGGTACTGGGTGATACACAATGCGTACTCACTCCCAGAATTTCAACTTGGATACATCAACATTTAAAAATAAAGAAACATCTACTTATTACTTTTAACAATTAACACGAAAAAATGGCGACTTTCATTTTAAAACGTTAGTGTAAAATATCAAAGTATTTGAAAACAACAATATAACACCTATACACTTTTTTGTACATTTACGAATTAAAAAAATTATAATTTGACTACATCTATTATTTAATGAAAAATGGGGCTAATCACGCTTGATTAATCACCATGTATGTTTTAATAGGCCGGCTCGGCCGGAGGCTGCAGTCGTGTGTGGGTGTGCAACAGTTGTAAGAGATTTCACAACGATAAAGCCGAAGAAAAAAAATCATAAATATAATATTTCACGCGACCGTAAGTAAAGCTCGTTGTCCGGTCAACGGGTTTTCGATTTCAATTTTTTCCTTCTATGCGTACATAGTCTAAGATGACATATCGTACGATCGATAATGATAATTATATCAAACAGCATCGATGGTGTTGACCAACACCGGTTGAACTTATGTACGTAAGTACGAAAATAGCGATAATACTGCAGCAGACGCGTCACGGTGTGGCATTGCCTCTGGTTTTTCGAAATCGTCGTCAGTCTGCGCATAAATTATGATATGCAGTAGCTATTTTATAGAGATAACCAGATAGGTATGTAGGTATGTTATAATACACATAATATATTATAATATAGATATACGTGACCGCTACACCAAGTTATTATTTGTGCAGAAGAACCACTGAGTGATTTCAATGCCCTCCGTCGACAAACGGGTTTTATTATTTATAATATAATATTATTATTATTCGATACGCACAATATATTATCGTTATATTGTACATATGGCGTCGTTGAAAAAGTATGGGGCAATAATATCTGGTACGAAAGTGTGTAGAAATATAGTGATACATACTGTTCGTACAGAAATGTATTTTTCTCTTTTTTTCTTTTAGGCTGACAATATAAACCGTGCAGTATTTTACGGTACTAAAAGTTAGTTTTTAGTATTTTCAGTTTTAGTCATTATTAGTGTTTTATTACACCAATAAATTGATAGAAACAGTATAATAAAACATACACGAGTGTGTTGAAAATATGTACGATTGTTTAAGAAACCCGTTTTTAAATAATATATAAATATTGCAATGTAATACATATTATTAGAATATAGCAACTACTAAGTAACAACATTTTGGGATTTGAAAGAATTATCACACTTAAGTGAAACAAAAACTTTTTCAAAACTATATCCGACATTTCAGTAAAAAAAAATGATGAACTTAGATTCATATTTTCCAACGTTAAAAGATACAAATTATCTCCGTACATTAAGATTAAGGCATAGTATGTACTGTAAATGCATTATGACTCACAATTAACTGGACACTACGTCATACATAATATAGCAAATGTGTACTTGTCCTTTAAGGTAATGACTAATTCGTATTAGTATAGACTAGTTACCTATATACGCCCAAAAGACATTGACAATATAATATGATGTCTATATTCTATGCATACAGGGTGATTCACCAAGCATGCTCATCCCCTTTTTATCAATAATGCAGTTATTCAAAATCTAATTTTTTTAATTTTTAAATATTCTTTAAGACCATATTTTCAAATGCTTAATATTCTTTGTACTACTTAAGAAGTGTTCTGTGGAGATACAAACTTCTGTTTTTCGAATGAAAACACCCATATTCAATAAATTATATTCTATAAATTATACAATACATAATTCTTCTGTATTTTTTAAAAATTAATTAACAGTAAATGAGGGTGATTCTCGTTTGAAAATACAGAAGTTTGTATCACTACAAGATACTCCTTAAGTAGTACAAAAGATGTCAGGAATTTGAAAATTTGGTCTTTGAGTATATTTAAAAACTATAAAAATCAGAATTTGAATAAATTCATTAGTAAAGGAAAAACTGGGGGTGAGTATGCTTGGCGAATCACCCTATATAGTTAAAGTTAAGTATACCTGTTTAATGCCTTCGACGAGCACGTCGCGATCGTGTGTGTCAGACAAGTAGCCGGAGAAGAGCAGAGGCGCGTGAAACGGGTTGGTCGACCGCAACATGACCCGTCCGCGACTGCGGGGTCGTAGCAATATAGGCACCAGGCCCCAAGCGTCCCGCCCGCGGAACCCACCGTACACATGTTCGTAGAAGTCTTCGCGCATGCCGAACAAGCGGTGTAGTGAGCCCCCAGTGTCGCCCGTCAGCGCTCCGGGACCGAACACTAGTTCCATGTCGGGAACCACGGACCCATTGGTTGCATACCGCGTGGCCGTGAACGCCACCGCTTCGGCGCCGCCGGGCACAGTCAGGGGTCCGTCACCGTCCACGGCGTACTGGATCAGGTACTTGGGGTGCCTATACCGGCTTTCCACGATGGTCACAGACTGATTTACCAGGAACACCAGTCCGGCCATAGACACGTGGTCCTGCAGGTTGTAGCCTACCCGGAGGTCGCTGACGACGGGCACACCGACGTCGGCGAGATGTTCGGCCGGGCCAACGCCCGACAACATAAGCAGCTGCGGTGAGTTTAACGCCCCGGCGCACAGTATCACCTCCTTGCGGGCGTAAACCGAGGCGGTACGACGATTCCTGACGAACCGCACGCCGTACGCGCGCTTTGTGCCGGGCTCGATGAGCACCTTCGTGACCATCGTCCGCTTGGCCACCGTTAGGTTGGGCCGGTGCCGGATCGGCCTCAGGAACGCTTTGGACGCGCTGCACCGGGTGCCGTGGTCTGTCGTGGCGAGTACGTACGAGAAGCCAAGTGGTCGTGGCCCGTTGTAATCGACGGGAGTCTCGTAGCCTAGCTCGCGGCCAGCGCGTAGGAACGCAGGTCCTAGTGGCGTCTTCCACGATGGTTCCTGGACCTTAAGGTACCCTCCACGACCGTGCAAATGCGCTGCCTCTGGTGACGCGGCCACCCGGCCGTCATGCTGCAGGTCCTCCGATTTCTTGAAGTACGGTAACACGTCCGCGTAACTCCAACCGACGTTCCCCAGCCTGGCCCAACAGTCGTAGTCCTCCGGTACGCCCCGCGTGTACATCATGTAGTTAAGCACGCTGGTGCCGCCCATCACCTTGCCCCGTGGCCACCGACACTTGCGGTTATCCATCGCACCGCACACACCATCTTGTGGTTCGGTCTGGTAGCCCCAGTCGTATCCGGTGCCAATCAGGTAGCTTACCAGCAGCGGCACGTCCGTCATGGCATTCTCTTCACCGCCCGCTTCGATCAGCAGCACCGTCCAGCCTGCCACCTCGGTCAGCCGGTTGGCTACCACCGAGCCACCGGAACCGGCGCCGACCACAATGAAGTCGTACTGCCGACCAATGTACGGCGCATCGGGTACAGCATCCACTGGTTCCGGTGCTATCATCCGGTAGTACTCGACCACTGCCTGGAAAACTGTGTACGCCATGCCGTTGCTGGGCCTGGCCGACATTAGTACCACCGCGACCAGCACCGAAACCGCGTGCCGAAGCGATACTGTCGGTCTCATGTCGTCGCTTCGCGGTGCAGTTAATATTATAATATAATATGATTAAGATTTAATATGATGTACTGAGGACGTGACGTTGTTGTGAAAGAGGACTGCAGATGATATTGTTGTGAGTGAGAATTGCGACCGGTGCGCCGGACCGCGGAGATTCGATAGCGACGCCGGTGTGCGCGAATAGACGACAAGCGATCGAGTTCGCTCCCGAGCAGACGAGTGTCGCACAGCGTTTTCAAGGTCCTCGGAAATATACAACTATACCATGGTATTGCAATAGCTTATGCTATACTACTCCGTAAGTGGCGCCGGTCATTAAAACATTCCGTCCGTGCTCCCCTCCCCCATTTACGGTTCCCTTGAAATGCTTTCGCTGCAACACATATAGGGCCTAAACGGCCCCTAAACGGCCTAATTATAATGCAATTATACGCTGATTACGATGTACTTTAAAATTTAAATACGTCAATGCGACGATTTCTCCGTTTGTAGATCGATAGGAATATAATATTTGGTATCTATGTGTGACATCGAACAATGCTGATGATGAATAACGATATTATACGTTTCTGATATAGGTACAAGGTATACCCGTGAAGTAATGTATCGATTCGTCCGATTTCATCGATTTGTGTTAGTGAACACTGAGCTTTACAATATTATTGTAATGTACAAAAGTTAGTTAATTATTAGGTGCGCACTACTTGCATAGATGGGTACACCGTATCGTACAGCATGTTTAATGTACCGAGGTTTGACAGCCGACCAACGGAAAATATTTTTACTCTATCAAAAATTACAGAAACAAAAAATTTATGGGTAGGTAATTAAAACAGTTATTGTAAAAATATTTTTGCTACACATTATTTGTGATTTTTTTTTCAATTGCTTACACTGATCATTTAAATTTAAAAAAAAAAGAATCTATTCTAACGTGCGTTAACTTACAAGACAGTTACTTGGAAAATATAATAATATGTAAACAAACAACTCTTTCAAAATTATGACCAAATAAATCTTAGTTATCTGCTGGCAAAGTTGGGCAAACTTCAATTGAGCACTAAAAAATATATTTATAGTGGCTGAGTATAGTATATAATTACATTAACAATTCGGCCTCGCCCCTTTGATAACATACGTCTGTTCATATGCTATAAGTTATAGCTAAAATAGAAACATTATATTAGGTATATCCATCAAAACAAATTATAGGTATATCTTAAGTTCACATGAAACAAACAAATATTATGATTAGTTTCTTAAGTGATTAGATAAAAAAAAACACAAATCAGTAATTTTCATCTAAAACTATAAATCATTACAAATAATTTTCTAACCAAGAATTTGAAATGCACAACATCAAAAGTGAAGACTAAATACCTACTGTCAAATAAAATATTGAATTAACCATACAACTTTTTTAAACAAAATGTAAACACCAGTATTTTTAAAATAAACTTTTTCAAACATTTTATTATTATTTTTATCTTTTTCATATTATTATTAAATAATATAAAACCATAAACTTATAAACTTGTAACAACATGAAATATGTTAAGACATAATTTAGTGACAACGAAAAAATAACGGACTCGGTGCCATCGCACTTTAATCAAAGATAGGTAACTTTTAATATTTTTAAACAGCAAAGATTATAAATATAATTGTAATTGTTTCTTAGTCAAAAATATTTGTTTTTATTTCATTACCATTAAACATGTTTGGAGTACCTACTCAAATTTGAGTACATCCAGCTGTCAAAATAAATGTTTGGCTTTCTATTTTATTTTAACATTGAAGTAAATTAATTACATTAGTTGAAGGGACATGCGATGTAATCGTGTATACCAAATAAATAATAATAATCATTATTTCATGCAAAAACAGCCAATGTACATATACGATATAATAAATTACATTAAAAGATGCAAACTCCCCTATAAGCATAATTCTCGTGGTGGTTATGGAAAGTTTAAGTTCATTACAGTCAAAATTTTAACCAATTATACATAATTAAATTTATAGTATTCGTTCTAAGATAATAGACGATAAAATTTCCTTAAAAATTAAGTGCATTGATAAATTTACAATAGTCGAATTTTTGAAAAATCAATTTTATTTTATAAATGACTTAAACATATTAAAATTTAAAAAATCATGAATATTAATTTTATGTAATCTAGTTATTTGGGTTGAAACAGATGTACAACATTTGATTTCAATCTGTTTTTTAAATTGTTGTATAGATATATTAATATTTTCTTTATAATGCGCATCATACGAGTGACTTAATTTTGCGATGTTATGTTTAAATATGAATAGACTAAGTAAAGTGTTACTTACTTGATTTATTCATGGGCGATATTCAAGTTCTAGATATGCTAAATTATTGCTAAAATACACAGACTTAAAAAATAAAAATAAAATAAATCTTTTTAAAGTAAGGCTATAAATATATGAGCATAGGTCTGTACTCAAATGTAAATTCTATAGCAGATAAATGTTTGTATTAGAAACAAACATAGCTTAAGTTTAATATCTGTATTAAAAATAAATCTCGTTTCATTAAATACATAAAATATTTGGTTAGATTATTAGTATGATATTAATCTTAATCTACTATAAGTCTATCAATTGTAATCCACAAATATTTAATAGCGCTTACTAACTCTAAAATTATATAATTTTTACAAATACCATTAAAGTTTGACGAGTGAAACCATAGTTTGTGACCTGAGTTAGAAAAATTTGAGTAATTATTAAAAAAAATATATTTTACTTATTAATATTTTACTCTAATAAGTTTTAATATATCTAATTTCATAAATATTCATATAAATTCATAAAAAACCATTATATGTTCTTATAAATTATCACTAAAAGAAATGTATAGTATGGAAAAATTATATTTATAATATTTAAAATATAACGAAAAGCGGACAAAATTTTTACATTTTATTGAACTGAAAATGTAGTTCAAAAAAATATATAAGAAAATATAGTACATTAGAATATTAGTGCAATTGGCATTAAATGCACATCGCACCATTGTCGAATATAATGATAACAATAAATATTTACATTATGTGAAATTGAGTTTTATATTCAAAATTATTATTTACATGCATAATATAGGTAGGTACGTACAAAAATCAAGAAATATGTACTTTTCCCCTAAAATTGACAAAATATACAAAATGTGAATTTTAAATTCATCATTGTACATCTTGGATTTCTTGTTTGGTCTCTTATTTATAAGACCTATAGATTTATTTAGAGAATCATAAAATATGCGAAAAAAAATTGTAGTGTTATGTCGTTGTAAACGATTTAATATAATGAAACACAAACACCGTAAAGGCATAAGACATTGGAATAGGAATTGTGATGCATAAATATTATGATTTTAGTTTTAACATTCAATGAATCTTTTATTTAGTTCAATTATGTATGGGCTAATTGTTGAACCACGGGTTCAAAAAAAAAAACCAAGGATAATAATATAGTACCTACTATTATAAAAATAATGTTTTCAAATATAAATTTATTATACTTTTATTACTAAAGCAGCCATAGAGTAAAGTACCTGAATGTACAATATAAAATTATTAAATTTAATCTATATATATCATAAAAACTATAAATAACTGTAAGAAGATTTCTGCGAAATAATAAGCAAATCTTTAATCAATTTTGGATGAGAAGAACAAGTGGTTTACGTAAACACAATAACACGTATATAATACATCTTGTAGTTTGCTTTCAAATGGCATTGAAACAACATATTATATTACAGTATTTGTTCTATGGGTCAAAAATGTGTTGTAACTATTCCGAGTTTTCAAGGCTCTAAGATGGACCACTTTATTCGAATCAAAAATTGAATATGTAAATTACCAAAAAATTTAAATTGGTGGACGTTAAACAAGCGTTATGAATGAGAATGATAGTATTTAAATTATAAACAGCTAGAACTTAGACATTGCTTTACTCGAAAGATTGTATTTGTCAGATAAAAAATAAATAAAGCTATAGTGCATTTCTTATTGAATATTATAGCCAAGTTTGACCTATATTTAAACATGAAATTAAAATGATGGAGACTGGAAACGAAATATTGTGCTATTGTTAAATGTGTGACTATCGCTTCAATGGATGTATAGTCAAGTGAATGTTATATGTTATCCGAGTAGAATTAATTATCTCGAAATTGTCTGTTTACCTCTTACCGAAATTGTACCAGAACAAATCAAGTAGCATTGAGAATCATTCGTTAAATATTATTTAAAACTTTCTTACATAAGAAGTATTATATTATATGGTGTGTATTTTTTTTCTTGTACAGCACAGACGGATGGCTCTCCTAATTTAAATATACAGTTATTGCCTGTTGAAAAAATGCTGTCTTCTGTGAAAATGCATTTCACCAGACTGCAAATGAACTGAACATAATATTATACTAATTTGTCAGATAGACACGTGGTATTCCTAAAAATAAATATTGATGTAATTAAATAATGGTTAAAATATACTAAATATAGATGTGTCACGGATATTATAATGAAAATGATATGGCTGAAAATTCTGGAATCATAACCTGCATTTTATAGATGTTATATTATATTTTAGTAACTTTATAGTTTATTCATCAATCAATATATTATCCTATACCTATACTCATGAGTCATGAGGTTAAAATAACACAGATGTCTTGTACAATACGAGTCATGTTATTAAGGTATTTTGGCAGGAGTAATACCCAAGACAAGTCTTTGTGAGCAATACATGGCCAACACTCAACGTGCACAATGAGACCGAGCAAATCTAATTTTGATATAATATTTCAGAAATCGCCTGAGCATTGTACACATTATTGTCGGGTTACTGTACCATAATAACCATAAGATATATTATGATACACTGCAATAAACATTTACAACTGGCTAACGGAATAATAATATATTTTATCTAATTTGTATTGATTATTGAGTAATTATTATTATCGTTCATTTTTTTAAAAACATTTTTAACCAAAGAAAATGGGGATCTGTTATTACTATTACTAATCATAACTGTTCCTTTAACTATAATATTACTGCAATTAATACCTAATATTATAAAACGTGATGACGTAGTAATAATGATACTATTATAATTTATAGATTTTTCTTTTATTAGACTTTATAAAAATTTAGCTCATCAATTGTCTTATAGTAAACAAAATAAAATAACATTGTGTGTACAATATTATGAGTTATACAAAGAAAATAAATAAA